CAGTAAACGCTGGAAAATATACGCCTTATTTATCATTGACGTCGCCCGGTATCACTTGACTTCACAGCTTGACATCATAACGTCACATAACGTTTAATATCTCATAAACAAAGGTTGAGCCCAATTTTTTGTTCGGTGCCATTTTGTCCCAGATAATTGTGCGCGGAACTATTCTGTCCTAGACGCACAGCGTATCACCTCCTCTAAATCGACAGCCATCACTTCAATTCAATTCACTTTCTGAGAAAGTGCGTTACTGGTCCTTCGGAACCATCTTCATGCTTTTGTGGATCGTCAGGTCATTTGCACCCGACGTTTAGAAAGCGGGAAGTTGGGCTGTTTTGTCTTCTCAGGCGAGGCGATTTGGCGAGTGCAGTGTTTGCCGGAGCCGTCGTTACTCGACTGCTCCGATGGTCGAATTCCGTCGTCTTTGTATCTTTATTCTCCTTGTTTCGTTTGCGCTTTTTAACCTTTTAAATCAAATTCCGGTCAATGTCGAAACCGACAGCACCGGCAGATAAGTTATTGTGGTCTTTGGATCTTTGACGCATGCTGAAAGAAAACTTGACAAGCTGTTTTCTTTAAACATACATAGATTTTTTTTTTTAAACATAACCTATAAGTACCCAACTATCAAGGAGATGCAAATAAAAACCAGTTTTTTTTTCTCAAAGGAAACCGCCGGTCGAAAACCGGTCCCTCATGGCTTCCCCACACTCTTGTTCAGGCACGTATAATCTAAAACAGCATTATGTTAAAACACCTGAGACTGGGCGTAAAAAAAACCTTGAAACAACCAAAAGTAGAAGAGACAGGGCAAGAAGTCGGTGAGACGGACGTCTCAAACTCAGCTGATAAGTTTACTCAGTAAACCTCTCATATACACTGAAGCTAAGGTTTTCTTTAAGCATATATACACTTTGAAACCAACCAACCAATGCAACAAACAAACAAAATTTTTTCTCTTTCCTATATTTTTTACTAACTTCGCAGCCACCTATGTGCACACTTCCGACGGGATCCGGCCAACTCGTCGAAAGCGAACTGGTCGAAGGCCAACTCGTCGATGGTCAATTCGTCGAATAGGCCAATTCGTAATAGGGCAATTTGTCGAAAGGAAACTACTAGTCGAAAAAGTCATTCTGTCGAAGGTCGATTCGTCGAATGGGTGGAATGACGGTCCGAGGTAAAATTTTGTGGTTACATTTTGAACAACATTTTTATCTGTGTCTGGACTAAGCGCAATGAACTCGTTAAATTATGAGACAAAAAAAAAATCACAAGAGGGCGAAGACAGGAAATAACTTTGGGATAAGTTGAAAAATGTGTCATCTGGGGATCGTCCTTTTTGTTAATTTTCTTTCTTACTTTTTGTATAATGAGTTCCCGCAGACTTTCGCCGACAAGCGGCGTGAACGGGTGGGCTGGGTAGGTTAACACGCGACCCAATGATACACGCGCGAAATATATATGACCGTCCCACACTGCACCGTGGAAGCGGCGAAAGTGGCAAGTTGTTATCATCGACAAGAAAGAGCACATCGGAGGTCACTTACCGTGCGGCGATTTTACGTATTACTACTATAGCGCGGTATTTGCTTTAAAATTTCAGGCACAAACATATTTTGGCTTTTAGAAAGCTGCGACCAGTTGGCCTCTCTGATGAGTTTTCCTTCGACGAATTGCCCCATGACGAATAGACCCATTCCACGAATGGGCCGCCGACGTGTTTGGTTTCGACGAATAAACAAAACAGGTCCACTCGTCGCAACCAACTCTTCATAGGAAAAGTGGTCGTAGGTGAACTGGTCAAGGAGGACATCTCGATCTAGGTGATCCCTAGTAGGGAGAGTGCACTCTCCCTACTACGAGAAGGTCAATACAACCATAGTTCCATTGACCTTCTCGTCGTAGGAAAAGTGGTCAAATGTTTTCAGTTCGTTTCTCACATATCTTACTTCTTTTTTTTTTTTATCTTGTTCGCTAGACAGCCTTTCGTCCCACACGGGAGTATTGTCTTTCGTTGTGACCCCTCTTTTTTATTGTATAATCACTCTTCATAGTTCCTTTTAGAAAGGCAGACTTTTGTAAGAGGTATCGTAAAGTTCAATATGAGAAATGCTTCTGTTGAGACGATTAAATGTGGATACTTAAAATTGAAAGAACACAAACACGAAGAAGGAGGACTAAACAACAACACCCTTTCATTTAGCAACGACGTCTGATTATGTTAACGAAATTCGCGCTGTACCCGAGATCACCCTGACAAGGAGATGCTGGAATGGTAGAGGGGGTGAACGACCAGGCGAGGGCGGAAGATCCATGACAGTACAATTTCTACGGGGAATTGCACATTCTTTCCAGTTCTGGCCTGAGAAATTTCGCTGGACGTCTCGATGGAGTTAAGGATGCCGATGAAACGTTCTTTTTCGCGTTCTCGATTTGGAATGATTCGATGATTTCGCGTGTCTAGCGGTCTCGGTGTCCCCCCTTTATCTACGTGCCGACGAGGTATGGTGCGCACCCTAAGCACTCTTTTGCGTGAACCTTCGTGTTTTTATTCTTTCAATTTTAAGAATGTTTTTTTTTTTCAAACGTGAAAACAGCGCAAAAATTTGACAAGGGACGAGTGAAAGAAGTGCACGGACAAAGCGCTTTGTCCGTGCACTTCTTTCACTCGTCCCTTGTCAATTTTTTGCGCTGTTTTCACGTTTGGAGATGTTCAACCAACTCGCCCAATTTATCGCTTTTTTTTTTTATTAGTTCAAATTTAAAAAAAAACGAGATGCGCACTGTGTAGAACGCCTCTTCGTTTTTCTACTTGTTATAATTTGTAACAAGTAGAAAAACGAATATGACCTATTGTAAATTATGCAATTGAAGCCTCGGAGGTGCATTTTTCGACAAACAAATTTCAACGAAATTGACAAAAGTTCACTTGTCCGCCGTTACGAGTTCCCCGTGCACGAGATGGCTATGACGAGATATCCGCTGGGACCAGTTCCTCTATGACGAGTTGGCTCGGGACTAGTTCGCCTAAACTCCCGTCCACGCTATTTGTCATCTTCACACTAAAATCTAACTTTCCAAAAAATTCTTGCACTGCTACACTAGACAAAAAAATAAACGCGCACACACACAAGGCAAGAACCAAAGTAATTATAAATGCAGGAACGCCTTGGTACTGTCAGCAAGGTGCATGGATGCCTGGCTTATACAGGTGCCTATTGACTTAATAATAAATGTTTATCTTACAACTCGCTTGACATCATTGTACCACTTCTGTCTCCGGCCACTGTGTCGTGTAGTTGTTGCATTCCTGCATATCTGTTGCGATTTTAAGGATTGGCCGCTTTGATTTTTACGTTTCTTTTATGCTCAATTAGTCTATCATCCAAACACCTGGAAGTTTAACACACAGACTTAAAACCACGCGTTAAAGGTATCTCATACGCGACTTCTTCCTCACAAGGGGCCGATATCTCTCTATGGGTTTTCTCTTTGAAATGGGGTAAGGTAAGGTTGCCCAACTTGAAATTCGTATTGAACGCCACATTTACACCAAAGTTCTTTCCCCAAGTGAAGAACTTTGGTTTTGAACAGCGTTAAGATGCTCAACACTTGAGGAGGCAAAGTTTTAAAGATAGCAAATGGAAATGTTGGATGGCAGGAGTGTGAAAAGGAAGCTCTGGTTTACAATCACTGAGAAAAAAACTTGAAACTCAGAGTTGACTGCTTTTGACTCATTATACTTTTCGCCTTACCTTCGAAGTCTTCCTCCTTAAGAATCCCACACATCTTTTTCCTAAATTTTTCGATGTTTCCAATCCATTCACACACGCAAAAAAAAAAGGGTTATCCAGCGTTTCCTTTGCCTTCCTCCCGTAAACTGACCTTGGTAAGATTGCGAGCTTTCCACTCTTGTCTGTTTGTACCAACTCTAACAATTTTCCTTTCAACTCGTTTTTTACCGCTCTTGCTTCTCGAAAGCTCCTTCTTTATGATGGGTAATCTCTGCCCATTATTCTTACCACCCGACCTACCGCTTGATCCACTAATGCTGCCTTTTCACCCTGACTGACTACTTTCGCAACTGTCTGAATCAACGATAAGATATCCAATCTTGACGGCTTTACATTTAAACAAAACTTGGGACCCTGACCCAGAAGCTCTTCAGTCTTTCTAGATACAACTTTTTTACATGGGTTTACGAGAGAAGCTTAGGACATATTCAAACAATTGCTTACACACGGAACATCAACAAACCCTCCACACTTTTGCTACCCAACATTTCCACGCACTATCTTTCCGATTCGCACCACAAGTCATGTTTCAATCACTTTCGTTCCACTCGTGACGTCACGCCTGCGTTGTGGGTTTGAAATTCCCGCGCGAGGTCATGTGGCTGTGACCATGACCCTATCGACCAATCAAGATTTTCCCCTCCCAAGCCACCGACGCCGGCGTTTCTGCGACACAAGCTCGTTAAAGCTATCGCTTTAAAAATTTAATATAATTTATGGAGCAAAATTTTTACAAGCACCAAAACCCCATAAACAGGTTGGCGAAAAATTGACATCGAACGCGTATTCGCGAGAAATAATGAAAACACCCACGTGACTTCCCGAATTGGTGACGTTACATATTTTCGCACTAATCCTCTGGTTTTGATGTGACCTTTTTTGGGGGGGAAATATCGCATTATAAAGTGACCAATTAATTGGGTGGTGTCCTCAGACGATTACACGACGCTTGGTGCGAAAATGGTAAATGGTTATTTAACATTTTTTGTAAAAAATGGTAAATAAACATTGAATTCAATTGAATTGAAAAAGAAATTCCTTTTTGCGGTGTCAGATGCCCTTTGTTTACAGTCGGCCTCACAACTTGTACACCCGCGTTTAGGGTGTACAAGCCATCCCGAATGGACACCACTCAAAAGGGACTACTCCCATCACGTTCGGTGGTTTAGTTAATCTCTTAAGCGCTTACAACACTCCCTAGGGGGTGCAATTTATTTTCGGAGAGGCTGTAACGTTCCCGACTATAAGTGTATGCGTAAAGTTCAAAACCTTTTTGTCGCGCTGCGTGTGGAGTACGGCGTCGTGAACGGTCGGGAAGAAGCTGGTCGTGGGAAGGATCTCGAAGATGCCGCCTTTCCTCAGCATGGAGAACACGTGTGCTGTGAACACAAACATGAAGCGGAATGAAGTACAGCCTCCGTTACCTGCACATTAAGCATAGTTCCAAGCTTTTGCGTCGGAGGAGAGCTGGATGACAGGTAGTCCTACTAAACAATAAAATCAAGCAAAGGAAAGTATAATCTACCCCCCACCCCCCCCCACCCCCCTTCCTCTCCCCACCCAATCTCCCGAAGACTTCCGCTGCGAATATATATGATGGATTATAATTTATAAGCAGGCGCGTCTGTTTTAATTAGCACGACAAAAATAAAAATTTCTTTGCAACTAAAAAGAAAAGCAGCACTGGTGACCGGGGAAATCTTCCATTGTACTAGGGCTCTAATCTGCGCACTTGACGAAAAACTCGGCAAGGATTTCGGCGGCCATGACTGGCCGGCGCTGCGCTTCACCTTAGCGCCGTTCAATGACGGAGGATGAATTCCTCGGCGACTTTTTACCAAGTGTCCAGATTCGTAAAAAAACAACAAAAGCGTTTTTTTTTTTGTTATGGCCAGTGTTTGATGTTTGAGCATTAAGAATGCTGCTAACAGCGTATTTGTCATGTCTGACAAGACTTTTTGTTGATGGTTTCACTCGTGTGGCAAGGTGTTTCGGTGCATTTGTGGCTGGAAGACAGTGAAGTTGTGGTGCCCGGACCTTGCGTGAAAATAAATGTGGTTTTGGCTTACACTTTGCTCGTTTAAAACGCAAAAGCCGAAGTTAGCTAACTCAACGGAACATTGTGCATAGTAGATATATGTTCATTCGACCGCAGCGTGGCGTGGTCGAAAGATGTGTGCGGGCTCTGCTCTGAACCGTCTATTGGCTGGATGCAATTCCTTCGCTGCTCGGGGTCCTGTGGCACCCGCCGTTTTTGTTGTAAGTGCATTGAAGTCATCGAAGATGAATACGAATACTTCATGCAGAGGGGCTTCAGTACGCACAGAGCAACGGCGGCTGCTTTCCTTGGTGCCTGCAGTGGGTGCGGCTATGGCAACGAATTGCTGGTGACGTTGTTCGATAAAATTGATTCGCTCGTCAAGTAAGTGGCCCCGATTAAGGCAAAGAACGCGTCCCTGATACTGCATCTGTTCAAAAACACACGAAACTGCTGCGTCATTGTACCACTTAGAACGTCTTGTCATCGCCAACTCCGACGTTGCTGTCGCAACGCGCTCCTGGTTCTGCGACCTTCGCTATGGTTCTTTAAAAGGATTCATTTTCCCGACCTTTTGCGTCGGGCAGTAAGCGGATGACCGGAAGTGATCGCCCGTCTGTAACACCGGCTGTGGCTGGCACTCTACCGCCGTTACAAGTGACCCGCGGTGGGGCACCGAAAGATGACGACGCTTACACGCTCGTCTAAAGGGGGAAAAATAGTGAAGACGCGTCATCAAGAGCCTGCGAAAGTAGTAAGCTGTCTATAGCCCCTAGAGCCTCGAGGATCGAGGCACTTTTCGTTCCACGCCCTTATCTGGCCACCTTATGTAATGATGTTGGGGAAGTGCTTAGCACAGTTTTACAAGGGAAAACGTTTCCGTGCACAAAGTTAAAACGAAACATCAAATCTAATCTTCATTTCACATTGCTTTGAATAAAGAATACTTCGACAAGGGTAATGTTGACGGTGTCTAGCCAATGGGTTCCCTTTTCAGGCCATTTTCTTCGTGCTATACGGAGTAACGGAGATCACAAAGCTGCGCCAAACTAGATCACCTAAATTAATTGTATAACATACAGCGTTCTACCAAAACGTCCGTGGTTGGCGTGCAATGGCTAATCTGTTTTTCAACAAGGTCGTTTTGTGTGACTATGGTATTGTTTCGTTAAGTGAAACAATAGTTATTGTGCGAGGCGTTTTGAGTGGCACTCGCGTTTCAAGAGTGGCAGAACACCACTGAAGTCAAGGAGAGGTTCGGTAAGGTCGCTGTACCGCTCTTCGTCTTTCAGCGATGTTCTGCCATCCCTGAAGCGCGGGTGCCACTTAAAACGCTTTGCGAAATTTTCAGCTTTTTGGCCTGGTGAATCATTTCAAAGGTATCTCTTATATTTGCAAGTTTGACATAAAACTGATGTTCGCTCTTGCTTTGGTTTGCTGCATTCTATGGAGATATCGCCATTACGCTCGTGCATGTGTTCAGACAAACTCGTGTAGCGCAGTTCCAAACGTTCACAAAGCGACGTCCTTTGGCATAACGACACAGGAATGTCACTGCCTTCGACTGCTGCGCGCGCAGCACTGTGCAGCCTTCTCTTTTTACGCTGCAAAATCAGTCTCTGAACGTTTTGATCACACCTCGTATAAAGTGTCACACTTAGCGTTTTGGTGTGCGAAATTTTCCGAGTCTCGCGCACGAGCTAAGTCTTTGATGAGGCGTGATAAAAGAATGTACCGCGGCTGTGTGGATTGTAGTTTGAATAGTAATCTCATATAGTTTTGGCGCTATGTCAAGGAACGCACGACTACAACTTCGACAATAAGCTAGTCGACTCATCGGGCACTATCTCACGTGAGCCTGAAAATGTGTCAAACGTTTCCGCAAACTACTTCGCCTGAGTTTATTCAAAGAATCTGGAACGTCTATGCCCAATTTGAGTAGCGGTTCGAGCGATTACCTGTCAATCTAATCTTTCGCTAACACTGACATCAAACTTGCAATACTAAAAAAAATGTGCCAAAGTTTTCAGTCGCATTCGATGGTGTCCCAAGTTTCATTGATAAAGGGTGCTCTGGAAAAAAAGATATGCGCTGGAAAAATTATGTGATTGTGCCAGTACATAAAAGTGGAAGAACGAATGATGTAAAACTCACAGACCCGTATCTTTGATATGCCCGTTCGCAAAGGTCTAAACACCTGTAGATTTCTTTTAAACGTAAGATTAGCCCTATACCACACGGCTTGTAAATGGAACATCGGTAACAATAAGTTTAATGTCATTATTATAATTTGCTCGTCTCTTGTTAGTCAGCTTGGTCAGGTGGATACAGTATACTTAGATCTTTCAAAGGCCTTAGACTCGCTTAATCATCTGTTACTTACACAAACATTGCGATCTTGCGCTATGCGTATAGGATTGCCCGTATTGGATCGCAGCGGATATTGACGTTTTTAACTCAGTTTGTAGCACTTAAGTTTTGTGTAATTTGTAATCTCACTGTACATAATTACCAAGGCATCTGCTTTTCGTGTGCACAGAAAATAAACATAATGAAATAATGAAGCTGAATAATAAGGAAATAAACATAAGAATATGAATATATGAATAATAAGGAAATAAACATAACAAATAATGAAGTACATAAGCTGAATGTTGAACACATTCAGCTTTAACGACTGTCAGCATGGGAAGCGTGTGGAGGATCGTGCGTCATGGAGGACGAATTTCTTTCAAAGTGAAGTTTAGTCCCGTTGCCTTCTCCGCGGAATCGAACTCAAAACATCGAAACACAAATTTGCTCGCATGTGTCATATTTACAACTAACCGAGTAATGCGTGATTTGCCTCACCCGAACATGCTGCAACCAGGATAGTGATGCCAAGGTTCATGTATTCCTTCAGCATCTGCGCACATGGAATAAAAACATTAAATATTCTGACTAGCCAATTAAGAACACCGAAGAAATAACAAATAAGAAAAGGTTCTCCGAATTTTATGTAAATTATTTAGTTAAAAAGGGGTAATAATATATGTCAGGTAGGTGAGTATAGTATTGGGTAAACTAAAATTATAAATGAAGTAATTTTTTCAATACTGACTGAGAAGAAGCAATTTCAGTGAGTGGCTACAAATTTAGCGCCAAAGCAACTTGATTTTAAACTATAATACCGTATGAATGTCTTGAGATGCTTTGACATTTGTAAACCTGTATAACATCTTACATAACAGCTTTCATAGTTCTATGATATACCATAAAGAAAGGATACATAGTCTCGGACGCGCTAGAAGTCCTGTCGCCGCATCCGCTTTGGTGCCCTGCTATCACACAATCACCCAACCAAGTGCAAAAAATCGCAACAAAGAAAAACAAAGTTCCCTTATGTTGGAACTTTACGAATCATAAAAAAAAGAATGTGACAGGGCGCATAAAATATCCCATTCCGTTTTACATAAAATATTTTCGATAAATAGCGGAGGAATCTTTAAACCTATCGTCACTATAGTAAAAGCACGAGGTAGGAGGTAGCTTTCACTAGTTAAAATGGCGGAAATCAATCATTTATCGCAGAAACTAGAAAATAAATTAAATAACTAATTTTTGCGAACTTAAAATTGATAGAAACACAGAAACACGCGAACACACTAAACTACAAAAATCTGTCAGCACAGTTTGCGAGCACCTGTTGCTTATATTGTAAAAAAAAAAAGAGACGATTCCACACATAAACTTAAAGTTTTCAGGTAGGCGCTTCCTGCGCAGTGTTCAATAGTTCCCAAAACATAGTATAATTTAAAAGTATTCCAACTCCCAAAGAAAGCTGTAGTACTTATTGGTTTATATTAGATCTTAGGTCTAATAGTATTGATTACATTTGATGTAATCAACGACGAATATAGTTATTTATGGCTTAGTAATACGTTTAAAAACTTAAGACTCGTGACGGTTCGACGGTTCCTAGAATTCTTTTGATTTTTATATTGTATGAGGTCACCTTGAATTATTACGATAATATATTTATAAAAAAACAAGTGAATAGAACCGCCAATCTTTTCTTTTTCTTTTTTGATATCTATACCAACTTACGCCTGCACGTGGCCATTACATAATGAATTAGTTTCCAAATTTCGACTCGCAGATCGGATATCGTTCCAGGGCCTAAACGTCGAACGTTGTTTGGCTGTCAGCTTACCTCGACCAGTGTAGTCATGCTGGAGCCGTCAACGAAGGTGACGCGGGAAAAGTCGAACACGATGCAGGTCGTCGTCGAAACCAGAAACATATCCGAGGCTCCGTAGTCCGCTCGGGGCGTGGGCGGGGACCCCAGATAGCTGGAGGGGGCCGCACGACCCACCATCGACACGGACCTCCCCTGAAAACATGGCACGTGCTGCGTCAAAACTCTCATGTTCCGTTCACGCACTTGCGTTGGCTCACCGCCGGGTTCTTGTGATCTCTCGCGAGGTACACTCTAAAAAAAGTCTGTGCGTCTACTTTCACGCACAACACTCGAAGAGCCAATCAGCGCAACTTACGGAGGCAGCTCAGCGAATCACGATGCCGAAACATCTGTTTAAACCAAAAAACGCAGTCTGAGTTGTGACATTAGGCAACGCAAAACGTCACGCTCGCATTGCTTAATAGGGGGTTTTCGTAGACCGCGCAGCACCCTCCGCTAAGCGTTCCGCAACGAAGAAGTTGCTACTGCGCCTGCGCGCCGATAGCCTTGACTGTGGAGTTCCCGCTACCGTAGCGGGTTGCGGAGGGCCTTGCGGGACGGCGAAAACGATCTACGAAAACTCCCTAATGTCACAGCTAATTCTGCGTTTTTTGGTCTAAACGTATGTTTCCGCATCGTCATTCGCTGAGCTGCCTCCGTAAGTTGCGCTGATTGGCTCTCCGAGTGTTGTGCGGGAAAGTAGACGCATAGACTTTTTTTAGAGTGTAGTAGCAGTAAATACGTTTTTTGAAAAGCGAAAGTGATTATGTCGTTGCCTCTTGGTTGGTACAATCTGGCAAGAAAGGGGGGGGGGATGAAGTGGGAATGGGGAAGGGAATCAGATGTGGGGATGAGGCCTGACACACTGGTACGCTGGCGTCCTCTATGAAGTGACCCTGGAACTACATTGCACGAGAGCGGAAGTTTTGCGGTACTTGTAATATCAAATGTACATACTATCTACTAGTTATAGTCGTTTATAACACAGTCAAAAGTTTATTTTTTTTCGAGCCAAGTGAAAAAGAACGACGCGTGAAGAAGAGAAAGAATGACGGGCGAAAATGGAAAAAAAGAGCATACGTATACGGGAACTGCAAGTGTTCCATTGCTACCGGATAGATGGCAACAGTGTGTCCTCTCGTCGTAAGAGATTCGAAGACGTATTTAAGGCACACGGTCGTTAGCATTCACAAGTATGTGAACCAACCTCTGCATTCTCAAAATGTCAGCTCGTTTACTTCCTCACACAGCATGTGAGGACCAATCACTGAAATCTCTGGAAGCCTGTCAACCAACAAACCCCCCCCCCAAAAAAAAAAAAAAAAAGAAAAAATAAAAAAAAAAATAAAAGCTGTGCTGTGAGAACGCAACATGCGCACAGACAGTGAGCACATTATAACTGCGCAGATTGAGTTATGGGGTTTATTTTTTTTACGCCTATTGTTAGTGACAGCCTAAGATAATCTTTTTGCTTTGAGATTAATCGTTCCTCGGCGTTCATCCTTATCGGCAAGTCCTGCAATCTCAATGGCTGTAGAGCGGTAATAAGATGTTCGGAACCTGCGTTTCCTACGTGGTGTGCGACTAGACGGCGTGCAAGTTCGTCTGCTCCTTGCACACCTCGTGCGTTTGTTTACTAGCCAAACGCGCCCACGTGCTTTTGTTTTCCCCCGACATCAACCAGTGGCGGCGCTCGCTTGGCTTCCGCCTCATCGCGCGTTTCCTGGGCGTTCTCTATGTTGCCCTTCGATTGGCGTACTCCCCCTCGCCTTCCGATGCGCCAAAGGCGCATTTTGGAACATTTCCTCGCCGTATGCGGAACGCGAGTTCGTCTGGTTCTTTTCCAGGGGTTGTGGTGACGTCAGAACGCCGAACTCCGATTGGCTCTGACTGAAGGATGATGGGTAGGCCTCAAGGCAGCTTGCTTTGAGGTCTACCCACTATCTTTCAATCGGAGCCATTCAGAGCTCGGCGTTTTTCTGACGTCACCACAACCCCTGCAAAAGAACCAGACGAACTTGCGCTCCGCACAGTCATTCGCTGGTTGCACTTCGCAGATAGGAGAAATTAGACCGCTGCATGATTTACGTGAACTTCTACACGTGGACATTTGTTTAGAACATTTACTGTCCGCGACCTACTCTAAACTTTAATCTTTGATCAGATCTTTAGCACTAAAGTAAGGATGGTGACTGGCATGGGTGCTACGGTATAAACATATTATAACATACCTTGATATTTATGAATATATTGATTTTCTGTTAAAATGGTATGCAGAATGCATACAATTTTAACAGCAAACCCTTACTGCAGTCTTTGAGGTGGAATTTCACTGGAGTCTGTTGCAACCAGTGAGACTGACGAAGTGAGAATGGATATTAGAAAAGAACTGGTTTATTGAAACTTGTGAAGTTTGAAAGAAGGTACGGATATTTTATTAGCTGTATACTGGTTATCGTCATCACTGCACGCTTTGGGCCTTACGAGCCTCTTGAGAAGCCGAATGCAGTGGCAGCTGTACGCAAAATGAATGTTACCGCGGCGACCGCCAACAAACCTGATGTCCGAAATAAGGACTGCTGTCGAAGAGTCTTCTATAATGAAATAGTGAACTACTAACAAACTTCCAATATAGTCCATTATATCCGTATGTATAAAATAATCTGTAGTAAGCAAAGTTGGCTCAATGGCATAGAGCGGGAGATCAACAATACTTCACAAAATCGGCGTGTTGTAACTGAATGTCTGCCCTGACCAGATATGTTGTAACGAGGTTATATTGTATCATGTGGCAGTGGCGAAAAGTGTGGACGCCTTTTTTTAACCAATTAGGCTGTAAGGGCATTGACACGTACCACCGCTCCAAACATGCATGCTGCTGGTTGACTCCAATACAATTCTTAACAATTGGCATTTGGATCTGTGTCCAGTAACAAACGAGATTGTAATATTTGAGGTTGATTTGACTCTAGGACTAAACATCTCACTGAAGGTCTTAAACTCAATCTATCCAGTAACACTAGCAACCCACTTTATTATGTCTGTTATATCCTTATTGTAATCTGGGCATACTCCGCAGAACATTTCCTCTCGAAGTGCCATAGCGTTCTGAATGCCATTATAACTTAAGAATGTCGTGTTCGGATTTTTCCTAATAGAAAATAAGCTATTTGCATTGATGCAGATCAAGGACAAGCTTTGCGAAGCGAGGATGATTCGTCAAGAGTAGTGCGCAGTCATATTTCCAATGTTGGGTAGCCCTTCTCGCTGATTGTTATAGCAAAATTCGTTACAACAAAATTTGTTATAAAAGAATTCGGTAAGTCTGTCCCACTAAAATTAATGAAATGCCACACTTTGCGAACACGATCTTCTACGGGCACATGCGTAGCGATGGCACATAATTGACCGTACAACAGTTGTTCGACAAGAAGGTTGAGATTTAAAAGTGATATGGGGACGGATTATGCACGCTTTAATGGGCGTATTGTGGAAAAGTGTGCACGCTTTGTGGAGACGTCAGTCGACCAACTGCTGCGCGCTCCGTGGAGTCTTCTCACTGGACATAGTCATTTCCACCTAGAACACAAGGCCTGCGCCTTTCCCTCCACCCAAACGTCATCGACACTAGTGGACCCACGCAGCGCCGCCTAGTTCGCGTCAGCGTCGCCAGAAACGCGTCTTGCTGCGTCTCACTACGAGCACCAAGTTAGAATGCGGCGACGCCAAGACGGACGCGTCTGACGCTTTGCGGCGACTCTTGTAGAGCTTCTGCATGTTTACCTCCGCTTGGGGCGGGTCGGAGGTTCACTAACGATGACATCATGCGCAGTCCTTGTCTTCTAGGCGGTGCTGCCGCAATGCGATAGACCGTTAGTGTAAACGGGTGCCCTAGGGAAGATCTCTGGTGATCTCACCTTGACGCCGTTTGAGGTGAACAGGTCACTGAAGGGAACCCTTTTAGGCTTCTTTTTAGTGTACCTAAAGACGAAGAGCAAGGGAAATAGTGATTAAAACATGAAAAGCTTTTTAACGAAATCCCCCCCCCCCCCCCCCTTCCCTTTTCTCCCAACCCAAAGCCTAAAATGTTGTCCATTCGTCCGGGCGTTCTTTGTATTTTTAACGGGGAAATTGACGTCACGTGACCTGTACAGCGATATTGTTTCCCCGCTAAAATTGGCGGAGAAATTGATGTCAGGCGACCTGACGTCACGAGACCTGTACACAAATTTAGTTTGCTGATAAATTTAGCGGGGATAATGACGTCACTTGACCTTCGTACCAAATCAGTTTCCCCGCCAAATTTAGCGGAAAAATGAATAAAATTTTTGGTTCTTCACTTCCCGCAAACCACTGTTTAATGTCTTCTAAACAAACTTAAACGATCGCGCCTTAAATACTGCATTTCATGCATTCGAGGACTTTAAAGATATATGTCTCTGACAATAATAAAAAATAAGCTTAACTTCGAGAGTTTCGAGATTTAAAAGTAATTTGGGACGGATGATGAGCGTCATAATTGGGGAGGATATAGGATCGCCATTTTACATTTGTTAGCGCTTCACATTGTCAAGGAATTATCCGACATATCCGCCGTTGGTTACCATATGTCTGCATTGAATACTATATTACACACACCCCAAAAAACTCCGCGAGTTTCCTTTCCTGCAGAACACAGAGACAGCAAATCACGCCGCAAACAACAGAAGAACCTTAGCAAATAAGGAAGCTCAGAATTACGATTAGTTCTAAAAAAGTCAAATTTGAGCAGGGCCAATCAGCAAGTGAAGCGTCATGCTCACTGATCTTGCACTTAGCGTATTTTTCGGCATCATGAATCACATTTTAACTTACGCCACAATGTAAATCATTAGAAACAGTTTTATTATTTTTACAGTGGATGCAGTTCAATTGAAACGCTACAAGAAACGCCTCATATATGACAAAACTGCCTGTAGTCGCTGAGAGCTTATGAAACACAGAGCGAGAATTTCTATGTTCTCGCTTCATGCTTTGCGACTGGTTTTTCGGTGTTCTCATCGGACAATCCCGCATTCTCATTGGCTGCGTAGCGATCATAGGATTCTCGAAACTCACCACACCATGTATATTTTAAGTTGTCAGTGGCTCTGACGCATGGATGAAAGGATGGATGTTACTGAATACACCCTTTGTAAAATTGTTTGCAAACTTACGTTGTGCTGATTCCCGTCTTCTTGGCGACCTCGGAGCGAAAGTACTCGGCGTTCGCGAAATGGATCGGGCCTCCGAAATGAAAGACCTTGACGCTCGAAATCTCTGACGCCTAAAAATAATAATATAGATCAATAAAATATATATATATCGATCTAGGCGCGAGGGAAGGAAATACATTTGAAAATCTAATACTGTTAACTCGAGGGCTACGACGCTTTCATAATGAAATAAAAGTGTACAGGTGAACAATCGCGTTTCTGGCCCACAAACTAACTTTTTATAGTTTCCTCCAGTCTGCCATAGAAGGTCGAGTTTTTAGTTGAGGAAGATAATTGTTGCTCGACACGGTAAACAAACGCACCTCAAATACATAAAATTTGTCAATCTATTTCATCTTTGTCAAAGATGTTCTTCGTGACTGCACACTTGGTCCGACCGTAGCCAACGCTAGATCCCGATCGAGTCAATCAATAGAGAGGAACCGTTCTTTCCCATGCGATACGGTACGATGGTCCCTCCGGTACGAAATGCGCATGCGCTAACGCAGAAGACAAGCACATACGGAGTTTGTATAGCGGACGACCCATCGTAACGTACCGGTTGTAGTGGTATACGCCTGCTAACATCGGCTGAGCTGGTCACTTTCAGGGAATGCGCCGTGATCGTGCACTTCTTTTGTGCGTGATTGGTTTAAGCCGATGATATCGAACCCACAAAGATGACGAGCGCCATGACGATGCGCTTTTCGTGCTGCTTGATGAACTCCATCGGACCCTATAGTGTCGGGTGTGGTCCGACTTGCACTGGTCGATAATCAAAATTTGATTATCTAATTCACATCTTTGCTAAAGCTCCCATTCGTTGTGGGCAATGCTGGAACAATCTTGTGACGGGTAATATTACTCCTCTTAGTATGTCTGTTCAGAAGTTAACGGATATGTGCATGGACATTTCAAGAGCGGGACTTCAAAAAGGATAACAAAAATGTGAAGAGACGCTTTCTGCTTACCAAGCCATAGCTTTTGAGCGGCACGTAGAAATCAGTGTTGGGTATGCTGCCTAGAAGGCAGGTCTTGGGCCTGTGACAGTCAAACGCGCGCACTTTGATTAAACCTTTACGCATTTAATTTGTGCCGAAGAATTTTGCGGACTCACTTTTTTATTTGGTATACGAGAGTGAGGAGAGAAAAAATGATTCCGATGACGAGGCCGAACTGGACGTCTACGATCACTGTTGCCAGGAAGGACACCAGCCATATATTCTGCGGGGCAGGGCGTGCCATTAAAAGAATTGGTGAAATTTTAGCCACTTTGACGGCTGAAAAATAGTTTTTATCTAAGGTGTGCTACAAGCCAACAATTTCTTTTGAGCATGATAAAAAACAGACGCGACGGGGGCATTGGTATCAGAGTGATGTGTCAGCTCGCCAAGACCGCTTACGTTGCCATATCATAACTGAAAGTCAATTATTGCTGCAAGAGTTGAATATTTCTTGTATATATGTAAAATTTACCGGCTAAACTTGAAAAAAATATTGTGTACACCGCCTGGATTTTTAAAATAAAGAGGTGAATGAAAAAAACTTTTTTATGATGGCCATGCAATGTTTTAGGTTATTCGCAGTTTTTTTTTACCACCAACAATTTTGGCCATTCGGTGCAAGAAGGTAAGTCGTCTCAGCCTTTACACCGTTGTTTTTACTGATACACAGTGTTACTTATGACAGCCTCTAGTTAGCATTTTATAAAATACATCATTCATGCATATTGCCCCTGTCGAAGTGCATGGAGCACTGAAGTTTTACAAAAAAATCAGATGTATTACTTCGATATCTATCTACTGGCGACGTTTTCTGTGTCTTTTCTTGTGTAGTCTTTTTATTTTTCATACTCTGCTTAAATCTCTATCGGTTGCTTCAGTGTTTGTGGTCTTGTAAGCGAAAGGCTGTTCACAATTACTTCCGGGTATAATATGTTTCAGCAAGAGAAATTACTTAAAGTAATGCGTTGACCGAACCAACTCACCCCGTCGATTTTAGAAACTTTCCAGAACCTCTTGAAATCTTTGACCTGAAGGAATACCTTTTTAAGGGAGATGAAGATGATAGTTGATAAAATCGCCTGGAAAGACAAAAAATACCGCCAAAGCTTTAATAATACCAATCATCTTTCTTAATACAGTTGTTTCTAGGAGCCATATTAATGTTTCCTAGTAAACGTGTCACACTTGAAATATAGCACGTCGGTTTCCTGATTCCAATGTATTTTTTATAAAACTTTTGCTAATATCAAAATTTAAGATGAAGTAAATAATTTATTTTCAAATTCCGGTTTTGAGAAAGGAAAACGAATCAGCAATTCTTTTATTTTCTAGCTATCGGATTTTCTCTTTTTGCAAAAGGCAACGTTTGGATACGAGAGATGATGAATCTAGATGTGGGTTATCGTCTCATACATACATACATACATACATACACGTTTGCAAGACTATGGCCTGAAAATGATGGAATCGGCGATTTCGAAATATGTCGAAAAAATGTTTAGGTGTTAAATATTTCGGTCATTCTCCCGAAAATTATACATTAATGTGACTGTCAAGTAACTTTTAAACGCCTTCCACCCATCATTCCAAAAATATAATTTGCATAGCATAGCATCGGGGTGCATTAAAAACAAATATTTGCAAGTTCTCATAGCTAAGACTCCTTGGAAAAAAGAAGAGTTTAGATTGCGTCATATATGTGATTTCAGCATTTGTTTTGTATCTGCTAACTACCATATAAGTTTCAAAGGCGTGAACTTTTTTTAGCGAAGTAAAGTTTTAGTAGTTTGATTAAAAAAAATCATACACTGACGTCAGCCATAATTTATGATATTATCCCAGCGTGCAGTGTTGCTAACGTATTTACATTTTTTACGAATTTTAAAAAGAAACAAGTTTGACGGACCTGAATGTCAGTGTAGTAACGAAAGATACACAAACTTATTTAAAAACTTCTACCAACCATATCCAATTTGTAAGTATGCAGACTGTCTAACACGCTTTCCTGAAAGTTTTAGATTAAGAGGCATTCACCCTGGGTCAAAACCTAAAATGTTATGAAGTTACGAATGAATATAAATAAATGCCTACTTTTTTGTTGTGTCAGTGGTGTATCGGATTTGTTACGTGCTATTTTTCATAATATCTCGATGAGAAATTACTTGCAGTGACAAAACAGACATACGCTCATGTTGTGTTCAAAATATTAAATTCTAACTAAGTTTCTTAATAAAAAATAAAGTGTTCCAAATTGTCATATAACGAATACCTTTTGCCCTGTGTTTTTAAACAACTCAATTAAAAACAAAACCTTTCAGCTAAGACACAACTCGATTGAAATTAATTTGTAGGAACTCAAAGTCATATAGGGGAGCAGTCATGCCACGAGTCAGTCGTGCCTCGAGTCAGCCGTGCCACGAGCAGACTTTTCGCGGGTAAGTCATGTCACGGTTCACTCTAATCACGGGTTGATCAGTCATGTCACTTGTCGTTGACTCCAACATTGCAAGGTTGCTTACGACTGACACTGGTCTTTTTTTTTTGTGCACGCTTGAAAATGATCAAAACAATCAACTTAATTTTGAAGTGGGAAAAAGATCCGGAGTAACGCCGCCCTCACAAGAATATTTTCTTATCCAGACACAAAATATGAGTCTGTACGTTTTATGCATGCCATTGCAAATAATAATATTTCAATATGAAAACAAAATACATTCTGATTAGCACAAATAAAAATAAATCCGTAAAATAGCCATCGCTTATTTTATCATGAGTAAGTTTTGTAATATTTGTTGTCAACTATATAAAGAAAACATCTGGGCGCTCGGCTGTGCTATTAAAAAAATAACAATTACATTACAAATTGATCAACGTAAAATTGTAAACTAAAGCAAATGTCTCCAAATGAACTTCTTATGAAGTGAAATGTTTGATTTTCGGGGGAATATGACCCATTTGGTTTGCTTGTTGGAAGTATAAAAATCAGGCAATTTACCACAGGAAGTTTCTCGAAGTATGGGCTGAGGCAGGTGATGACGATTAAAATTAACAGCGAATTGACGAAGCTGACGACCTGCGAACAAAACGAAATCAAAATGACCCCTTAGTTATGTAACTTCTGTAGAACTAAAAGTCAGCTACATCATAGCGACTTAAGTGCCGAATTCTGATAACAATTTAGAACCTGAAGCCCTACGCACGAATCTGGGGTTGAGAAAATAAAACACACAGACCGAACAAATAATTTTTGAAGGGCTACACCTGTAATCACGACATTATAATAATAAGAATAATAATACATTTATTGTATGGAGCACAACACTGTTTGCGTGACGGGCGCATCAAAGCCAAAACAAGGCTTGTGGGATGCTACCCTAAAATTAACACTTTAAATATTGCTACCCGGTATACAAAAGAAAATAAGACAGATTGACATACACACGTCCTTAGAATGTCCCAAAGTCAAAGTCAGCACTTGGGTGCATGCAACACACAAAATCACGCCTCCAAATACTGATTCAAGTACACATATAAGGTTTAAAAGAACTTAATATAAAAAAATAACGATAATCACGAAGACCAAAGTGTCGCGCCTGATGTGTAAAAGAAAAAGAAAAAATAGTCAGGCGAAAAACGAAATTGCAGTACACGGAGTCCAACGAGCGATTGTCCAGGACGTCCAGGCTAAACAAGTGAAACCCACACTGGAAAACACTAAACAAAGTAAAACAGAGATCATCAAAAACTCATACTTCTAAGTGATTTCTTAAGTTTACGGAGCGAAGTAAGGCCTAGAAGCTCGGGCGGCAGCTGTGAGAAAAGCTTTGGAACGTAATATGCTCGCGTACTTTCACCGTATCGGGTATGCACAAGAGGTATTTGGAAAGACTGCACGTGTCGGAGGGCACAAGATGATGAGCTTAAAGTTTTGAATTCAGAGCTCCAGAAATGTCTCAAAATAACTGTGTGAACATAGAGGGTGTGAAAGTCAGGCAGTTGAAGAAGGTCGAAAAGAGTGGTGTCCTCGGGTATTTGCATGTTATAGGAGACACTCTTTAGGATTGCTTTAAGGATGCTGTCAATTCTAGCTCTCCAGAAAGCGGAACAATTACCAAAAACTGTTATGCCATACCGAAGGATACTGTACCCTAGAGTATGAGCAATAACCTTACGAACATAAAGAGGCATGAGACATTTGGATCTATATAAGATGCAGCTGGCGCTCCTTAATTTTTTGCAAATATATGCTAAATGGGCATGCCATTTTAGGCCACTATCAAAAAAAAATACCAAGGTACTTAACACTACTAGCGTACTCTAAGGGGACACAGGCTCACTGATTACAAGCAGATGAGTGTAAAATAAAAGGAACGCTGAGATTGATTGTTTTATGTGGATTGTAGAAACACATTAGTTTTGTTTTCTTTACATTGATATAGATTAGGTTTTTCTCAAACCAGTCCATGACCGCAGTCGCATGGTGCTGTAACTGGCGAATCGAGTCTACGTAATTAATATGTTGGGACATGATTACAGTGTCATCTGCATACTGATAGATCTTGCATCCTGGTACATAGCTGGCGATGTCATTGACAAAGATGTTAAACAAAAGTGGCGACAAAATTGAACCTTGTGGTACACCTGCTTTTAGTTTGGTTCGTGAGCTTTGAAAACCTCCAGCAGATACCAGCTGGGAGCGATTGTCAAGATAGCTCTCAAAAAAAGAAAAAAAAAGTGCCACGGAAGCCTATGCTGTGAAGTTTACGTAAAAGTAACGAGTGACTAACGGTGTCGAACGCTTTAGATACGTCTAAGAATAGTGTTGACGTGACAACGTTGTTATCAAACCCAGAGTAAAGATAATCAGAAAAATCTTCCAGAAGGGGCTGTGTGCCCTTCCCATGCACGAATCCAAACTGAGTAGGTGACAATATATTAAATTTATCTAAAAAAGACGTCATTACCTGAAACACATGCTTTTCGAGTATCTGCACGATTATCGGTAGAATAGAAATCGGTCGATAATTCTCGATGTTATTTTTGGCACCACCTTTGTATAGAGGACGCACTATTGATGTTTTAAGGTCATCGGGAATCGATTTAGCCTTAATAAAGCCGTTTAACATAAAAAGAAGGACCGCTTTGAGACTGACATAATTTCTGCGAAGATCGGAGAGACGAATGTTGTCAATTCCAGGCGACTTGCTTGGCTTAAAGCTAAACAAGATCGAGTGCAGATCCGTCTCTTGGAGTGGGAAAAGCAACGCAGAGGAGCTGACAGTGTTACCAATAGGAGTTGGTGGATCTCTCGCCTTTCCAGAAAAAGTAGCAAAGAAAGCGTTGAAATTTTCTACAACATAACATAAATTACCGCCAAAATTTTGCTTCATCGTATCGTCGATAGAGTGGCGCGTGCTAGTTCCACGGAACTCATTAATCAGGGACCAAGTTTTTCGTGCATCTGAACGAAATTCTGCGAATTTTTTCTGGTAGTAGTTTCGTTTGGCAGATCTAATCACTGCGTTGACTTTGTTGCGAAGGAATTTAAAGTCTGACTTCAATTGCACGTTGTTAGGTGAACGACGGCATCTAGCCCATAAAGCATTTTTATCGCTAATTGCTGTCAAAATATTTGTATTTAGCCATAAAAGGTCAGGGTTACGTTTCTTTATGTACACCTCTTTCCGACAGGTATTATAGAATTTATCAAACAAAAGAACGAAGTTTTTATATACGTCACTGTGGTGGACGGACTCCAGAAATCCGATCCAGTCATATGACGAGACTAGCTTATCAAAGGCTCGATTGTCTATGCTGGTTATTTTAATACGGCCCGGTAGTTGGCGCGATGCCAAGTTACCAAAAGATCAATGACAGGCCACAAAGTAGTGGTCAGCGAGTTTTTCTGTAATAATGGCCGATTTAACGATCGACGCAGATGTTCTGATGTTGATATGGTCAATGCAGGAGCAAACTAGTCTGTCTAATAGAAACTCTTCACGAGTTGGAGCATTAATAGTGCACTCTATCCCATGCGTTGACAAGATCGTTAAGTATTTGCACACCGTAGATTTGGTCGTGCTTAAAATGTCAATATTAAAATCTCCTACAAGGCATAACTGGTCATGCATGGTGAGACTACTTATGTAAGATTCAAGTTCTTCCAGAAAAGATCCAACGTTCGTGGAAGGCGGTCTGTAGACTGCCAAAAAACATACCGAGGTTGCCGCGTTTCCTAGAGAAAGGGCGACACGCTCTGCGTGATTGAAGTACAGAGAAATATTAGTAATGGACCACTTCTCATTCACGAAAACCGCGATGCCACCTCCATGACCGGAACACCGCGTGTAGAATTTACCTATATATCCTGGTAAAGAAAATTGATCTGTAGCAACAGAGGAAATGCTTATTTCTGTTAAAACAAAGACATCTACCAGCGAACTAATATACCTTGAAATTATCTCGAATTCATTCCAATGCTTTCGTATGCTCCTTATATTAACATGTAAAACAGAAAAAGAGTGGTCATGAGAGACTCCAAGAAACTTTCTTAAAGGGATACTGAACCGAAAATTCGAGTTCACAAAACAAGGCCGGGCGGATAGGCGGGAAGCTGCAAAACCAAGAAATATCATTCATACGGCGATATATCTAACGGATCGCCGTATTTTTTGGAAAAGAAGTGCGCGATTGAACCCGGCCGACGAGGCCGACGCGACAAGGCACGTCACGATTCCCGTTCTCTCTCCTCCTCGCTACGTCCCGTCAAGCTGGTGAACCGAAGCGAGGAGGAGAGAAGCGAGGCCGCTTCTCCTCATTCTCACATTCTCCCGGAGGACAGTTACGTCAAAGAACTCGCTTGATCGCGCCCTTCTTTTCCAAAAGTACGGCCATCCGTTTGAGATATCGATGTACGAGTGATGTTTTGGAGTTCATTGCGTCCCGTTCAACACTTCTGCAGCCTTACTTTGCGAAATCCAAATTTCGGTTCAGTATCCCTTTAAAGACGAAAAATCTGAAACCTGAGCGAAATAATCTTTTCAAGGTCTAACTTATGGTTGATCCTCACAGGGAGAGAACCCTCCATCTTTCTGGCGTATATCTTAGCCCTTGTCACCCACACGAATTTGTAGCCTCGCTCCTTGCCTCTCTGTCTAGCCTGCCAAAACAGCTCCTTGTTCGCACGAGTCAGGTTGTCGTTTAAGTACAATTTGGGGAAAGGACCAACCTGACTGAGTGAGTGAAGCTTTCCCCGCGCTTCCATCCACGATTCCTTCATGCTGACGGAAGCAAATCGAATTAGAATCGGCGGGGCCTTTTCACGTTTGGCAGGCAAGCGATGTATAGCGAGTATATCGGTTTTATGGAAGTGAGAGATGTTCAGCTTTTCCGCGAGAGACTCAATAAAGGATAATAGGTCTTCTTTAGGCGAGACAGGAAGTCCGTGCACTTCGAGGTTGGAGAGACGACTGTGCTGCTCGTTGTCGTTGAGCGCGCCCCGGATCTCCTGGATTTCGGCTGCTTGTATCTGCACAGTTGACTTTAGTTGCGACAGTTCGTCCTGGAGACCTTTGCCAGTTTGCTCGTTGGCTGTTGCCAGCTTGAGAAGACGATCATAGTCAGCGGAGAAGAAGTCCATGGACTGTTGAATTTCGTTGACTGTCTCTCTCAGGCTCTCAACCAGTGGCTTTACCAATAAGAGTTCGTTGAGCTGCGCCGACAGAGACAGGAGGGAATCTACACTTCCTTTCAGGGTGAGCAGCCCATCCATGCAGCTTCTCAGTCATGGCAGCCAGCTGAGCAGATAGATTCTCCACACCCTGCGAGGCTTCGATCCCATCAGGTGGTCCCGCTTGACTCTCTTTCCCACGGCACGTCCGGCATCTCCACCTGTCACGCTTAGACTGACCCATAGTGGTGAACGTCTTGTCGGCGATACCGGAACAAGTCTGGCCCAAATGGTAAGCACCTTTGCAGTCTGCGCACGACATGTGCCTTCCATCGGTCTCCACTGACTTGGTACACGCCACACACTCGATGGTTGGAGTCATAGTTGAATCGACGCGCAGAAAGGTGGCGAAATACGTGTACTGCCGTTAGGCTCGAGAAAAGCGCAGCGAAGTAATGACCCAAGCCAACGGGGCAGGTAGCTAGTCAGGATGGCTGCCGGCCTCTGCACACTGACGGCACGACGGGCGTTGAGAGCAGAATAAGCGAAGTTGGATACCCAATACAGTAAACCTACCGGCGAATCTAAAAAGCCCAGTCAGACCGCAGCTGGGGAGGGTGGGAGAAGGCATGAGACGCCACGATACCTGGTCATAGATGGTCGCGCAGGCATTTTCTGGAGCGTCAGAGTGGCTAGGCCTCACGGTGACAGAAAGCCGCAGCCAGCTCTTTTGAAGATATCCCGTCGAAGATGATCATGGCAAGGTCAGCACAACTCCAGGCATCAAGTCTTTGTTCGCAGGAGTATGGCAGATCACGTTTTTCTTGCTTTCGAGGGAAATCCTCGGACGGTGAGAACGCTCACCGGGTCATGCAAACATCATCTTCTTCTTCTATGTTCTATGTTCATAGCGTTCCTAGTTTTCCTATTAAGTTCATGACATTCACTCTACTATAAGCATTTTTAGCCGTGGCTATATACTGGAATTTTTTTTTTAATGCTACTGAATCGAGTAAAATGGTTTGACAACTAAACTTTGTTCAGTTCAGTTCACTACTGGTAAGTTTTGTTGGAAGCTGCCCATCTCTTCGAAATAGTTTCACAAGATTAAGATATAACTATTTCAAAATTTAATATGCTGTTAAATTAAATAATGTTGTTAAATGTTAAATACATGCTAAAACGCCATTTAGGAAATCAAAAAGACGTTTCGTAGGCGGGAAGTCAAAATCGATTGCTGTTTATTTTACACGATTTGGATTAAACTTCTTAGAATTCCTTGAATGAGGTCTTGTCGACTGTCGTATCGTTCCTCACCTGCGTCTTTCCGCCCGCCCCCTCCTGAATGGAACTGCGAGGGACAGATGCTCCAACAGGAAAACACGCGAACATGGCTCCGAACAAGTTGGAAGCCCCCAGGGCCAGGAATTCCTGAGAAAGAGCAGACTAAAAATGAGCTGTGTGACATAGAAATGAAATCCTTCCAGTCTGCAGTCTATATCAGTCTATATTTATAATTATAAACGCACACTTTAACATATGAATGATGTTAAGCCCCCAAAATAATGACTGTTGTTGGTATTTATTTTAAACCGACGCAAATAGACCGCACATTAAAGTGGGTAAACTTACTAAACAAAGACACCGACATTGAATAAAAAAAAGTAACGAGGGTAGTGTAAGAACTACTTCGTCATCTTGGTTGGAACGTCTGCGCCTTCTAACAGGCTTGTCAGTTCTGTAACCAACGGGATTGAAAACATCGCGCTGAAGGTCATTCACGTTCAATTAATATAAATAAAATGTTTATGTTATTTTTAAACCAATGGTGTATTCGTGTTTCCAGCTCGTTGCTCGCCCTCCCGCGGCGAAAACGGGAATCGCTCTAGTGAGGGTCCCCCGATTCTCCTGCTCAGAGGGCACGGCGGAGCAACTCGCGATCATGGCTCGCAAAATGTTATTTCCGAACCTAAACAACGCACCTCACTGTCCCAATGTAGTGCTGCAGCCGGTATGAGATTGTACCTTATAGGAGAGTTTGAGTATTGCGTATAGAATCAAACGCAAGCGTTGTGTGTTTGATATAGAGTTGCGTGCCCCACGTTGTGCACGCACGTCATTGCTATGCGCCAATCCAAGACCGCTATTTTGGGCTCCGCGCACGCGCAGTGTGAAACACGAAAAGCTAACGCAAACACACGGCGCTTGCGTTCGCTCATATATTCAATACTAAATCTCCCTACTGTTTCACCGGCTTCCAACTCTAACGAAACGTGCTGCAGTGAGCAGACGTATGCAAGCTCGTGCAAGCTTTCAAGTTCGAAGGCGTTCCTCCGAAATGGAAAGGCTGAGATTGGCAAAACGACGGGGCCTAAAAATGAAAGTAACTAAATGTTATAAAAAATCAATAATACAAAAATGTTTTTTTTTGGGGGGGGGGGGGGGGGGGCATTTGGTCTGGAAGAGTATTGACAGCGATTTGGAAGTTTTACCGACTGTCAAAAGTCGCGACTTTGATAGCAAAATATGCTTTACCCACAACTAATGTAATTTTACATTAATTTCTCACATTAGCTCGAATGTTTTAATTGATTTTAGACAATTTTTATGTTATAACTTTGTAATTAAAAATGCTGCAATTGGCACCAGTGATAATAATTAGCACACTTTTGATTCTCATACTTGTTTGCGCGTTTGAAATTAGATTATAAGCAACAAATTATATTTGAGCTTGAAAAATTACGTATTAAAATATCTGAATTTTAATATTATTATTATTAATACAAATTGTATCAATGTATGCCCCCAATTAAAGCCACGTTCACAAGAAATACGCTATTTAACCGTAACCATCTTCAATAACCATAAGAGTCTTCCCAGAAATGTATCACTTTGTTTTCTTTTTAGCATATAAAAATCTCTGACATAGTTATAAACATAAACAAACAGTCAAACACTGGATGCAATATAAAGTCATGTAAGTCACGCGTTGCTTTTAAAAACACACACACTTCAGCTGTCTGACTCGAACTCCGTTCTTTGGGCTGTTGTAGTGAGAAGAGCGTTTATTAATTTATACGTTTTTTGGGCATATTGTAAAAATTTGATTTATTCTGTTATCCTTGTGCTGGGAATAATGGTAAAGCAATTAATAATCTAAATGCCGATAAACCGACTAAAAGGCCCGCAGTGAATTATTTTACGTGACAATTATCTGAGCGAGAATAGTCAGCGAGAACGCACACATCAGTGCGAGAACGCACTGATTTTTTCATCAACTACGATATTCTACAGTATGTTACCTCTAAGGTGTATAAGAAACCGTGTCTTTAAAGGGATACTGAAATCTTCAAAATAATTTGAAGTGCCTGGAACAAACATGTATGTCACAAAATAAAGTTTCCACGAACAAGTTTTTAACTAAATAATTACGATGTGAGACAAGTCTTGAGTTACGAAAGAGTTCGAAATTAAGACCTATACCGAGAAATTAAATGCAAAATAAAGGTTAGTTTCGGTTTTGCTCTGGAATTAAAACGTGCCTTCTGGCGTAAATATTACGCTAAACACCGTTTTTGTTTTCAGGATAAAGAGGTGACCTGCGCTTAAACACCCTAGCTTTCTGGCATTACCAGAAACAATTTCTGTCGCTTAGTGAAGCCAGCCCACTAACAGACTCAGCAGCGGCACGCATCTCCGACCCTCACTATTACCGCCATTTTGGGAAACGAGTGGCGCCACCTATAGTGAGTTGGTGTGGCGAATAGTACTCTACAGTTGTTAAATGAGCGAACGTCTTTTTTTAAATTGTGGAATTAATTGTTGAGTTTCATAGTTCACATTTTGCCAAAACCTTCTGTAACAAGTCCACCTATGACTCTATTGTGTAATTCTCGAAACGCATGCTTAACTAGAGACAAAGTGATAACAACACACATATCTGAAATTGATGTTCTATATTGTACTCTTCAAATGGCGATTTTACGGAAGTAAATATTTGCAACATTTTGTTGTGTCGTTTGGTTTCGTGCATATATACCGTATTTCCACGAGTAATAACCACACTATCTATGAACAATGCCCTGGCGTCTACTTTCCCGCAGAACACATATACAGCCAATCATTGCGTTGCGTAGAAATAACATAGCGAATAACCAGATCGAGAACACGATTCTCCATACAAACGCATTCTTCACAGATGATATCTTCGCGCGAAGACGTTATCTCTGTCCTGTAAACCACTGGAATCATGCTGCCGGTCGCGGTGATTGGCAAGCCGCATGCTCCGCAGAAAAGCGACCCTCAGGTTTCCTTTATAAGCAGTGCGGCTATCACCCGAGTAAATACGGTAAAGCGTTTACATACGATTAATTTTAGGTGACCAAGATTGTAGTGCTCACGCGTTCCTGACTTTATCCCTGTGCTGCCATCTAACAAAACAAGATGATTCGTTGACATTCGAGTAAAATAGCCAATACAAAGAGGGTGCCTTCACCTGGTTAGGATTGACGATGTATTTGTGCTTCCTGGCGAATACGCGTCCCAGTGAGATGGTGATGGCGTAGCTGACCACCGAGACGGCGAGAGCAGGGGCCGCCACGTGACACAGCAACGGCGCCTCCAAGACGGGCAGGTGGGGACGCGGCATCCTACAAGGTTACACGCACAGAATTAATGTTACCATCTGTCCCATTGGACACGAAACTTGTGACCTCGCAACAAACAGCTAGGATTCGGTGTCTTGATGTAGTTTGACTTTGATCTGAATTGAGGAGACGCTCAGCGAAATTTGTAAAAGCATCATTCAACAGTCTTACCTAATAGTGCGACATACACTTTTTCTTAGTGGGCAAAATAAAGTCGGATTTCGGTTAACAAAGCAATTTGTGTTTGGTATTGCATGTTCGCAGGCATGTGTCGATGCTTAAATATGGCTACTAATATTGCCGCGCGCACTCGCCAAGTAGGCAGCGCGCGCGTGGCCTAATGGTTATCGCGCCTGCCTCCCACGCGAAAAGCTAGGGTTCGAATCCTGGAGGACATGTCTTTTGTTTATTCCTCTAATTTAGTGTTCTGGAGAATTCGAGAATCATGTTGCTTGTTCCAGGCCCGAATATTCCACGCGTCGAAGTTTCTTCGCCGATTATTCCAGAAGACCACGCATGTACATAAGGGGCTCCGCGTGGCGAGCCGCAGTCAGTTTCGCCCCAGCGTTCGACTGTGCTGCTACGCCGACTTCGACGCCCGCGACGCTCTGTTATTATCTTTGTACCCTTTTAGTTTTTGGCACAAGTTCGCCACATTAAACGTTTCTTTCTTTCTGTTTATTTAGTGTTCCTTTGGTCACCACCCGTGACAATATGACGTATTTGCAAACAGTATTTGTTATTTGTCTTCCTAGTGAGACGATGAAAAAAAGTTTGGTCTTGAAAGGATTTTTGACGCCCTAAGAACTCTTTCAGCTCTTGAAGAACGGTTTCGCCTCAAGCACTATCGCCCCCTGGCGCAAAGGCAACTGGGCGATGAAAGACTCTGGCGCATAAAAAGAAAAAGAGCTAAAAGTAAACCCTTATATCTTCTTCACAAAGAACCCTTGTAGGGGGTGCTTAAAACTTTTTAGGGTGCAACGTACGAACAAGCCGAAGAACCCCTAAAGTTCTTTTACGAAGAGATTTTTTCAGAGTGCAGCTGGTAGCACTATCAACCTCCTTTTTGAGGAGACATTGACTTTCTGTAAATATCGCAGGATCCATATCGCAGGATCTATTAGGCACCAGTCAGTAAGAATCGAAGTTAAATGACGACCTCTAAGAAGTCTTGATTATATTTTGTCTTCAATACAGGCTTAGCCTGCATTAACTTCACTTGGGCGACATTTTAGTAGACGAAAATAATCCCTGGAGAGGGGGAACAAGAAGGACAAAGGACAAACACAAATCTCCAAACACAGCTTGTTCCCCTTCTCCAGGGATTATTTTCGCCATTCTTGTCCAGCTCATTTGCACCTTTGCATTTAATTGCATTATAATTATTCATTCATTTCATTTATTAACCATTTTGAAGTGGGGTGGCAGGGACAAAAGGTGCCTAATAGCACCTGACCAAGGTCCCGAGCCCCATACAGGTTTCAAAGCGGCAACACAGATAAAAAAACAAAAAAAAAAAACAAAAAAAAAACAAGGTTGTTTACACATTTGTATCCAATATATTATTCAACCTTCAAAATATAATCCTTTATTCTTTTTTTGAACGTATCTATTGAATTTACTGCTTCAGCTATTTCCAGAATTTGAGGATGCATGATCTTAGTCTTAATCTTATATAATAATCTAATCTATCTATCTAATAATCTTAGTAGCTTCTGAGTTTTAGTACGTACCTGGTTTAATCTCAAACGCATTGTAACATAATTCAGCAGATATTTCATTTGGCCCAAGAAATTAGTTAACGGCGTTAATGAACGTCTCTCTCTGATTACAAAAAAAAAACAACAACAACAAAAAAACAACATAAATTTGACACAGTTGAGAAAAGAAAAAAGACAACTTAAAAGCATCGAATTAGTGTGACGATACTATGAGTTACTCAGCAGAAAGTGCGAACTGCTTTATGTTATTAAATGCTAAATGTTAAAAAGCTCCGTTTATTGCAAGTGCAGGCATGCCAGGCTGCCTGTTCAATAGTCCAACACAATGAATCAACTCAATTTGTTGCGCCATGGGGCAGTACTCACTCGTGGGCGATGTGATCGATGACAGACATGTTGTAGCTTTCAAGGTTGAGGTGCTTCGACAGCAGCGTGCCCATGATGACCTGAAGATGGTTATTAATAAAGTAAGTAAGATACATGTTTATTTTTAACGTGTAACGTGGGCAAACGAGAAGCTTACAGTAGTGTGGAGATAGGGTGTGTAATATATATTAATAATTAAAGAAAACACTAGAGATGTTATGTGACTTATATGGGTTAAGAACTCCCAAGAAGTCTCACGAAATCGCAGCAGAAGCCTGGGTATAGGAAAAAGCAAGGCTAAATTGCAAACCCACGAATATCGCCATGATCAGCCGCACGCGGTGGATCTTAGTCAAGCACAAAACTATTTAATAAAATTGAAGACCCATGAAACAGGGTTGACGAGAGTAAAGGTAAAAGTGTCTGAAGAAGAGCCGAAAGCAATAAAAACGAAAGATGACATTTGCACGGTTGTCTACTGTGCAACGTTTAACAAGCTGGAATAAATAGACTAAATAAACGCAAGAAAGGCTTCCGACTCACCACGACCATTTCGATGGGTACCGGAACGCCGATCTTGCTGGTGACGAATGGATCGCACAAGATCTTCACGAGGAGCATTAGGATGAAGCTGGTCGCGGATAGCGCCAGCGTCGGTAGATGTGTCTCAGCGATTCTGTGAAAGAACTCGGCGTACGACTGAGACGCCGAAACCCAACACCATTAGCCCGAAAGTGATCCTTACTGACCTGAAATCTGAACACGTTTGCATGAAGGAACCATGCTCATTCCAACCAAAGTGTCCTTCTTTCGCTCTCCTGTCAAGGCTGGTTCATACACACACAACAGCGCAAAATCAACTCTTGGAACAGCGCTGATGCGCTGCAGTCTTTAACATAACCGCACAAATGCAGCACTGTATCAGCGCTGCATCACTGACAGAGCGCGGAGACAGCGCTGCTTCAGCAAGGCCGCGCTTTTTCCAGCCCTGACTAATGGCGCTGTGGTGTATGTGTGAACATGCCTTAAACCATGAATGTCGATGGATCCTAGCAATCCAAACTATTTTGCCTATTACAGTTTCTTCTGCGAGATTTCAATTGTTAGCCGCGGCATGATGACATATTTTGCGCAAGAAAGAAAAGTCTGCTTGAGCGAATATGAATGCTGTAGTTTCACGTATTGCGCGTTGTGAATTCAACGTCTCGTGCATCTTTGAGCATTCGGAGCACATTTCTCTACACCATGCGTTAACATTTTTCTTATTTCGTATTTACGGCACTGAAAGCGACACACTGCAGGTGGGCCGGTTTGTTGAAGGCGTGTATTTCTCCCGGAGGTTAAGATAGTCACTCGAGGGATTTTAAAATCGCATGACCAGTTGCGTGGTGAGAAAGTACATATACAGTTCTAGTCGAATCCGCTCAAGGGACGTAAGCCTTACCTGCCGTTTTCTTTTATTCACGCTTAACGCAGCATTCCTCAGAGAAAGAGATACATGCCACTCCTGATGCATACGAATTCGATGCATTTCAGTTACGTTTCAAGCCTGTTAGCATTCTTTTTCCGCGCTTAAAATCAAAGTTGAATAGCCGAAGCGAGGACGGACTTAAAGCAGCCATTTTCCTGAAACGTAGGTACCTTTTTGCGGCTATTTTAACCTCTGGAAGGAATACACACATTCCGCCATTCCCCAGCAAACCAGCGCTGGAGTTTAAGGCGTGTTGACAAGCGACGCGAAACTGTGACATTGACAACTCCCAACGACGCAGGTGGATCACGAGGAGAAATCAACTTGGCAACCGGCCAACTCTGCGGCAGCTGCCATTTCATTTCTGAAACGCTTTTGAAGCATGAAATACTAGTTAACGCTACCACTCAATCCCAAAATTTTGTCCGTCCGTCTGCCCGCCCGTCCGTGCATTTTCCGCTAAATTTAGCGGTTAAAGGTGCTTCACTTGACGTCACGTGGCGTCACGTGACCTGTACATTTTGGAGAAATTGACTGCACATGACCTATACGTCAACTCATAAATTTAACGGGGAAATCCACTTCGTGTGTCCAAAATACCATTTCAGTTTTTCTGCTAAATTTAGCGGGAACGTGACGTCACCTGACCTATACACCATTCAGTTATCCGCTAAATTTACCGAAAAAATGCGCGTCCTGTGTCCTAGACACAAATCCAGTTTCTCCGCTAAATTTAGCGAGGGGAAATCGACGTCACGTGACCTATACGTCCATTCAATTTCTCCGCTAAATTTAGGGAGAAAATATACGTCACGTGACATACCAATTCTCTCAGCAATTCCCCATAATGCATTTCGTGCGTTATACAACCTCGAAGGTAAAGGTCTTTGCCAATTTTTTTAAGCGTTCTTTTCATGCCAAAGTGTGATTGAGCCGACTACGGTAAGAAAAAGGTTCACGCTGCAATAGGACGAGTGCTGGAAAGCGTACCTTGACGAGAAGAAAAGGCCCGGAGTAAAGTGTGATGTTGATGCCGAAAAGGCCCGGCAACTGGCTGGACCCGATGTGAACCGACACTCCCGCCGTGAAGCCGCTCACCAGCTGCTCCGACAGGAACACGCTCAGACTACCCAACCCCAAAGCGTGGAATGCCAACTGTGCACGAACAAGGAAGGCGGTTACCCTAGGGAGCTCCGACCGCTGAGCAGCCAACGAGATCGTGGCAGCACCCGGTAATGCACATCAAGAAGCAATCATGAGGTGACGAAGGAAGTCATAGTTAGCAGCACCCCGTCGCTCTGTAGGCGCCAGGAACAAACTGACTGATATCTCCGGTCGAGAAAAACACACAGTGTTTTTAGTAAAAAGAAAGTGTGCGAGCGAGCTAATCAGAAAACAATCTAAACTCTGAGAGAAGGAAAATACAATAACATACACGGCAGGAATATGGCGTTTTCTAACCAGCTCACCTGTCATAACCTAAACTGTGAGACGAGGAAATTAACAGAACGGAGAACGCCACACAAAATACTGCGCGGTAAAGTATATACAGGCGAGCTGGTCATCATTTTGTACTCGAATCACGGTTCGTTTTTCTCGGCCAATGTTACCGTCCCTCTCTCTACAAGTGCTGTGGGTGGCTCCAGTAGTAACAAACATTAAAGACTTCAAGAAAATAAAGTAATACAGAAAGTATACTAGCAATATAATCCGCAGCATGATAGTGTATTATCCCCAAAAACACCGCATTAATAGCCTTTGATGACTCAGCACCTAGAGCCGAAACTTGGAGGCGGTGAAGGTTTTCTCACTTGGTATAGTCCAACTAGAAATGACAAGGTGGCGGCCACGTCGGCCGCACTGTACTCCTGTTTGTTTTCTTCTACGAGGATGCCGGTCATGATGGAGACTACTGCGAATGCGCCTGAAAGAGAAGAACATTTGCCACATCTGCATCTGGTGCTGTTAGACCTTGAGAAATCTGTGCAACGTAAGAAACTGATGGAGTCCCTAAACGGTGTTTGGAGTTAAACCGAATGTTTTGCACCAAAGGATTTTGTGCATATGCACACACTTGTCCACGCACGGGCTAATTCCTGCACATTTTATGGCAGACAAAAGTTTTTTTTAAAATAATTTTTGCTGTTGACAGGGAAGCGCATTGATAATTTAATACGTTCGTCGTTTATGTGGAATTTAGTTAAAGCTAGTTTGCTACGTCCTTCAGTGTCTAAAGCTTATAAAACTATCATCAGTGATGCGTACAAATTAAAATGACCTTCAGTAGTGTCGTAGAAGTCATGAAAAACTCTTTGAGAAGCAATGACGTGTTAACTTGAAATCCGACTTGCAGGATGTAAAACGTCTACTGTGAAAATGAAAAATTTGCTGGTTTTTACATGTATACGGTGGTGCACACACTAAAATTAAGTGGGCTAGGTATATTAAAACTAAACTGAAGAAGGCTGCAAGCCCATACACAAACCGACAAAAACTATAGACGCTTTCAGGCAGCTGTGCATAGGCGCCGCCATAACAGACCTTCAATTTTTGTTTCCTTTTATTCCGTTCGCTTTGCTTCATCATTACCACAGCAGGACAGGTTATTGCCTCTTTAGGTGCTATTATGTCCTTTGTAAAGGCTCGTCAACGCACGCTTCAGTGGCTTGGCATCTCGTTAAGACAAGGGAAGGTCGGCAGTTGCGGTTCAATCTGGCGCGTGTTTAAAGCGTCTATATAGGTCCAAGACCTTGTCCATCTACAACCTTGAGACCTTTTCCTGGAACTCTTTGGATTCCCATTTCGATACTTTTTTAGAACGCACGTAATGTGCCAATATAAAGTGTAACGCCAGTCAAAGAGGTTACGCCATGCATGGCTCTGTAAAGGCCCGTCCAAACAGGAAACTTCGAAAATCGTGATGCGACACGACTACGACATAAGTCGTGCGACGGTCCGCTTCCGTCCGTCTTTTTTTTTGCGGGGAAAAGTTCCCTCCATGAACTTTCGCCGATGTCCTCCACGAGGACCTTGAGCATGCTCATCACGGGGGTCCGGACAGTCACTCACAATCTCTGTTGGCTGTTGGTCAATTCCGCAAGGCCTCCCCTGCTCTTCAGGTCTAAAAAATGGGAAAGGAAAAGGCTGTGTCCGAAATCTTACCCAAATAGATCCGAGCTATTCCGGCGGGTCGTGTCACGTGATAACACAGACAGCGGGACGCCGGACTCTGGTAGGTTTTCGAACGCAAAGGTACAAAACCCTTACTCTGGAGTAAGATGGAGTAAATTTTGGAACACGGTGCAGGATACAAGGGCCCGGCAGAACAGATAGACATCATTTGCAAGTGGCTTGTGACGTCGAGTCTGACGAGCTCCGAGGTAACCCGAAAAGCGGAGGAAGCGAGGAGGAAAATCGTGATGTTTGTTTTGGGCCGTTCAAACAGACATCGGACTGCCGGAGTTCCGGACGCTTCAACTTCCACGATTTTTGACCGAGTCGTATCGCCTCACGATTTTTGAAGTGTCCTGTTTGCAAAGGCCTTTGAAAATCAAAGTCTCACCTATGGATGCATGCCGTGACGTGCCGAATATGGCGTACATGATCATGGGGAAGAGAGATGTGTAGAGTCCGTAGATAGGGGACACTCCAGCGAGTAATGAGTAACCAAAACCTGCACGAGAGCGTAGATGAAAAGAAAATGGTGTTTGTGCGAATAAATATCAATAACACCAAAAACAAGAAAGAGTTCACTAGATCGACATCAGCACTATATGAATTGATTTCCGATACCTATCATGGCAATAACCAAAAAATATTTAGAAATTTTCTAGTACATCTTGAAGGGATTTAGAAAGATTGTATTGTGACATCTATATCTATATGTCAGATCTGTTCATGTTGAACCATTCAGAGAGTGGAATACAAGTTGATTACCATACCGCCACATGCACGCTGAAAGTTCTGAAATACTCAGGTCCTCCGGTAATAAACACGTCAAGAACGAGCGAGTCAAAATGTAAACGAAGTTTATGAAACAACGAAAAAGCCAGAAACCTAACCCCTTCAACGTTCGCCATATATACAGTGTGATATATTTTATTCGAAACGTTTTTTTTTTTTTTAAGGCGTCTTTATTGCTACGGGAAAGCAGTCGGCACTTTATGTTTCTTGAGCTATGCGGGCATTTGAGGGGCGAACAACCGTCACAGTCTGGTGAGTCACTTTACAATTCGTTACTTTAGTTTTTGATTATTGGTTTTATGGGCCATGTTACAACTGCAATTTTGAAAACAGCCACCCTGCAGGATAGACAACTTACACACTTAGAAAAAAAAAATGTGTAAGTTGCCTCGTTCTCGCTTTCGCTTCTGCAACTCTCGCTTTTGACGTGCCATTGCTCTCGGAGCTTCACTCACGATTGTTTGCCGGCGGGGGAGGCGCTTCGCCAGATAGCGCAGGCGCGCACAACGAGTTTGCATAGTACGAGCCGCACCCTGAGAACCGCAGTACAGATACGAGATCATGACGTTTTGTACGTCACCTTGCCGTCACTTCTACAAGCGTCACACGGTCACCGCTTCCGAATGTCTTGGTTCATATATGCAACTTATGTATTTCCACAGGAACCTTTCCAGACAAAATGAAAGTTGCCAAAGTTACAGCACTATATAAAAAAGGTGATAGGTTAGACATAAAGAACTATCGCCCAATTTCTATCCTCCCAATTTTCTCGAAAGGCTTAGAAAAAGTTATTTTAAATCAAATATCGTCATTTTGTGCAAAATATCAGCTAATAACTAAAACTCAGTATGGATTCCAAAAAAATAAGTCTGTGGAGCTGGCTCTTCTTGAGCAAAAAGAATATATTTTACAAAACTTCGAGCAGAAGCTTCTGACTTTGGGCATTTTTGTTGATTTTACCCAGGCCTTTGATCATATCGATCACAATATTCTAGTTAAAAAGCTTGAGCGGTATGGCATAAGGGGTCTGCCACTTGAGTTCATAAAATCCTATCTCGGCAGAAGGCGACAATTCGTTTTTCTGAATGGCTTAACGTCTAAAAGCAAAGAAATAATCTCTGGTGTGCCTCAGGGTAGCATTCTTGGCCCGTTGCTTTTTAACTTATACGTCAATGATATCGTACATATATGTCAACAGGCGAAGTTTATAGTCTATGCGGACGATACTAGCATATTTCTATCGTCGAGCTCCTACGCCGAGATAACCAATATGGCAAATGATGTTCTACGTAAATTAAGCTCTTGGTCAAAACAGAACCGTTTAAAAGTTAATTCTAATAAGACTAAAGCCGTTTTCTTCTATACAAGAGGAACGCCTATCCCATTGCATCATAACATAGCGTTTAATCACACAAACATCGAAGTTTTGGACACTATAAAAGTGCTTGGCACGTACTTCTCCAGTAACATGCAATGGGACGAGCATGTTAACTTTGTACTAGTCAAAATTAGTCAAATAGCTGGTATACTGAATCGAAATAGGTATATTCTTCCGGAATCAGTTAAATTATTAATCTACAATACGCTATTTGTATCTCATATTAACTATTGCCATCTTGTATGGGGCACAACAACAGAATCTAACCTCCATAAATTACACTTAATGCAAAAGAGAATGATGCGCGTTATTGCCAATGTCTCATACACCGAACATACTGACTACCTTTTCAAGAAATATAACATTCCAAAAGTTCATGACATATACCGAAGGAGGCTTATGCGAGATTTTTATTATAGCATTAGGAAAAATACCTCTACACTCTTAGAAATAGGAAACTTAGAAAAAAGGCAACCTTCGCATAAAACACGAACTCCAGAACCATGGATAGTTCCTCGTTCTCGGACAAATTACGGTGACCAAATGCTTAAGAATACTTTGCCTCGACTACTAAATTCATTTGAGGAGGCTGGCACCGATATATTCTCTATAACCCCTTCTGAACTGAGATATCTTTTGTGTTCATTTTCTGATACCGGTGCCCTTAGAACTGCCTGAGATGAAAACGAGCTATTTCCTAGAATTGTTTTGTGTTCCTTACCCGACCTAATCATGTTAAATTGCAACTGTATACTAATGTGTGGAGCTGTATCGAATGAGTGAATCTGATTGACCAGGAAGTGTTTTGTTACTGTGTGTGAGTGTTTTGTGAGTCCAATGCTGCCATCATTTAAAGGGGGCCGAGGGCCCCACAAGCTGCGTTTGTAGCTTTTTTCCTCGGCCTCCTCCATTCTGTATGAAATGGAAAACCAATAAAGAAAGAAAGAAAGAAAGAAAGAAAGAATGCACTTGCAACTTTCATTTTCGGCATCGGAGTATAGAAAAGCGAGAAATTGTCGACGAAGATCTCTAAACCAGTTCGTTTTTATATATTGCAAGTTAGTTTTGCTTTTCAGGGCGGCTGTTTTCAAAATTACAATTGCAGCATGACGCGTAGAGCCAATAATTAAAAAGTTAATTAACGAGTTTTAGTTAATTTCTCCCCAGACTGTGACGGTTTCTTCGCCCCTCGAATGTCCGCCGAGCTCAAGAAACATGTAGTGAAGACGGTATTCACGTGTTTTGTGAATTCAAGTTCACATTTACGTTCACGTGAAAGTGTTTCGAATAAAAAATATCACCCTATATATATGCCATAGGGTTCTTCCGAACTTTCGCTAACGTCAACAAACAATACTCCACTCTACTGCATCGGACGCAAATTCGACCACAGCGGACGTCACCACCCGATGGAGCCAAGCGACACAAAAGTGCATAGTCACGGCGCTCATTACTTTTGTGAATGACCCACGATCACGACTCATTACAGCGAATGAGTCGTGACCGTGTTTTTCTGTTTTTTTTTTGTTGTGCGTGATTTGTTTAGCTTGTAAAGCTACAAAGTCAACGGGCGCCGCGACGTTGCACTTTTGACCCTGCTTGCTTGGTTCCATCGTATTGCAGTACCGTCGTCTGCGCGCAGGGCAACGCTCCTCGGTCTATGATCAATCTGTGTAGTGTTGTGTTTGCATAGCTTATCGTAGTATATTGTGGATCGTTCGGTTTAAGAATTACATTTTCTTTTGTAGTTATGAGTGGCCCAAATCGATAAACGGACGTATTCCGCGGCCTGTCACGAGGAGGCTTATCCAAAGTAAACATGGAAAGAAAGGTACGGCACCGGAGCTCTGGACCATGACGACACGTGACGACTATTTCCGGAAAGCAACGAGTTCGTGGAAATCCTTCGACGAGATCCCCGGGACCGCTTTGTGAGACATTCTTTTCGTTTGTTTCCAGCAGTGATGGTACCATCTGTCCGTTCGTATCGGATGATTTGTTCTTTTTTGTTTGCAAACTGATTGGTCCTTTTTCTTTTTGTAACCGTCATCGGTCAAGCGCAAAAAATCAATGGATGTCACCGAAAAAAAAAATCGTCATCGTCGCATGTTTTAGCGCTCGGTTGGCCTCGATGCACGTCCGCTAAATCGAAAGCGGGCGGGGCGTGGGAAGAGGAGAACGACGCCGACGAGTTTGTTCCTTTGACGACGGACGTCTGGGGCAACGACAGACTACGTCTTTATATTTTCCGTGATTGTTCCCCCTCCGGCACGTGGCTCCAAACTCTCCCACAACCGCGTGATGCTTTCGGCCGCCGTGGACCTTTTGTTCGTGGTATACAACGGCAGATCGCCACGAGGAGCCCATCGGTGGACTTCACATCTATTGGCCGCTCGTTGGAAGACTTCACATCGTCACGGCGTCTCTTGTCTTTGTTATCACCAACTCAGCCATTCACGCGCAGTGAATGCTTCATGATCCCGTGCTTCTGTCTCAGCGGGATTGGTTTAGTCGGCGATAACAAATCTACAAAGAAGACAGACGGTGTGACGAGGCAGTTTTTTGCGTTGCTAGGTTGGCTCCGTTTGTATACGGTTGGTTGCGGTCAGACTTAATGCAAAACGGAGCATAACCTGTCAGGCTAAAGACGAAGGGTCAAGGTAGAACCTACACCGGTGATAACTCCATTGCGTCCGAGATGACAGAAGAAAGATAAAGGGACCGATTAAGATAAAATAGCGATGAACATTTTTGCCAATTTCCTATAGGTCCTCAGTTCCGCAGTCTCTGTCACCAGTTTGGGGTAAAATCGAGCCACTGTGCAGTCGATGAAACTTGAAAGAAAAAAAAAAAAGAAAAACAGCAGAAGGTTTGCCTCCAACACGCGCGCATTGCCTTCGGGATTTGACTGCGCGCGTGTGCCCAATTGTTATATTGAAGGCGGAAAGATCCCGGCCGCGGGACGAGCATTTATTGGCTTCTTAAAGGGTTCGTTCGCACATACAGCACCCAGCGCGGCATCGGCGATACGTGAGGTGCAAGTCAGAGCTGCATCAGGCGGCCTTTTCCAGCGCCGCTTCGGCGCTGCGCGCTGTATATGGGCACCGGCCCTGAACTTGTCACCGACTATAGTCAACATCAACCATCTTGACTGCGCGCTCGTTCCTAGCCTCATGAAATGGAAGTCTTCAGGCCGCCTGTTCTACTATACTCTATTTCACATTACGTGACGATGCACTTCGGCGCTGTTGAGTTCAAATCCGTCGGTTGCGGCCGGACTTAAAGCAGTATGAACATATTTTCCGCAATCTATGTTCTGAATCACGAGAGCCGGCAGATTGGTTTGAACTAGGCCACGATTCATTTGTGCCACCTCGTGAAGAAACGCCTTTGTTTATGAAACTTCGCAACACTGAAGTGCGATCGTGGTAGCTTAGCAGGCGTTGTTCCCCAGCCTTCGACCAGCGTTTGTTTTTGGCTACTTTAGCTAGTCTAATATAGTCAGCGTCGTTCTTCTCCACCCAGAGTATAGCATCTGCTAAGAACAAATTTTGATGACAGAGAGTATAGAACACTTAATTGAGGGAGGCGGAACAGTTCTATGAGTGTATACGTTTTTTTTCCTGACTTTGTATCGGTAGTCTTAGTGTGCATATGTGAAGTTTTGCAGACATGTACATGCTACCCCCCAAAAAGTAACTAGATACCGTTACCCTCTCTAAAAGTAACTAAATGCGTTACTCGTTACCGATTTTCAAAAGGAACGCGTTACTTTACCTCAAAAGTAGCGAGTTACCTTTCTCGTTACTTCGACGACCAAGTACACAACTGCAATTGTTTTATTGTTTATTGTTTTCTTTTCAGTGGCCGTTGCACTTAAGCTGAAACCACCTCTCGAAGGTTCCATCAGTTATGTTTCCCCGCTTGCTTCAAAATACATATCCGGCGACACTGAAAAGTCGTTCTAGTGACGCGTTCGAAGGAATGGCAGTGATCTATTTCAGGGAAGAGCTGGTGAATTTGGGATTCCCCTCTCTTTTGCCCTTCATGCTTCTAAAGTCCGAAGTTTACAAGGGGTTCTGGGCCTTCCCGTGTTGGCAACCTCCGTGTTTTGACTCGGTCTCCACACGATTCTGGAAGGTTCAACCAACGAACCCTATTGTGTTCGCTGGGTGAAGGACATTCCCAGCTGTAGAGTTAGACTGTCGTGTTCAGCGATAAACGTTGCTGTGCTGTCATACTGTTTATTTGTGCTTCTGGTTGCCCATCTGGCTTCGTCGCAATAGACGCCTACTCAGGTTAGAATTAAAACGAGTCTGTTTAAACGGTGTTGTACACGTTGCTCCTCAAAAGTAACAAAATACCGTTACTCGTTACTTGGCCTTAAGAGTAACTAAATACGTTACTTCATTTCTAAAAAAAATTAGCTAAATACGCTGCTCGTTACCGAAAAAAGTATCTAGGTAGAAGTAACTCGTTACTAGTAACACGTTACGTAGACGTCAGGAATTTTATGACGGTATCCATCAACACCAAAATTGTTGTTATAACAACAATTTCCCTGTAGGAATGCTTTCGCATTCCTACACGGAAGCAGCCGTAAGTGTCTTCTCGAATTTTTATATATGCATAATTAATGCCGCAGGTTTTCCATGAAGTGTACAAAGATATATAAAAGGGTCAAAAACAGCGCAGAAAACGACACGGACTGCGAAGGCGTGCACACGCAAAGCGCTGACTTTCAACTGCTTATTTAAAAAAAAAAGGCGCCTACCGGCGTGGTCACATACAATCAAATACGTCATATCACATCACCTGTCCATCGCGTCGAAAACTGCTAATAAACGCAAGTTCGCAGTCATATAAACTTATCGAAAAAACACTGACAGACTTATCACTGCTCATTGAAATAAAAAAAAAAAAAAAAGCTTCTGTATTCTTTCTAGTCGACTGTTGACGATGCTTTCCAAGAATCTTGGTCTCGATTAAAACGTAACTACACTCACGCCTATCGCAGTGCACCGCCCAGTTTCCTGACGGTGAAGCCCTCATCGAGCACGCATGTTCACGCAATCTGTCGTTTATACAACGGCCTGTTTGGCCGATGTTTACCTTTTTACACAATCAGCGGAATGCAAGAAACAACTTCTCCCACTCAAGGAACAAACTTATTTTTATGCTGTTTAACATATCGAGGGATAGGGGTCCGACCTCTGTCCACCCTCACACACAAACGTTCCAGCTTACAGGGAGCCCAGAAAACCACAAATATGTCGTGCCGTGGTGCAACTTTTTTTTTATCCTGCGCGCAACCTTGTTGATGTAGGGCGCCACAAGAGGTTTCTGCGTATTATGTTTACCCATGCCACCCTCCGGATTACACACCCTCTTCAAGAGGCTCTCGGGTACACCTACCAGGAGGCTGCTAAAGTGCCCACCATCCAAAAAATTATTACCCTTGCATTTTTCTTGCCAGGTGTGACCGGAGAATTGCGGATGACCTCGGGAGTGACGTGATACGGATATTCAGATACGTTGATGATTTTTTGCTTTTGTTTTGAATTGGGTATACTCAAGATAGGGAGGTTGTGTTAGCTGACATGTGTAGTGTGTTCAAAAGGCATTATAATGGGCTGAAGTTCACCAGGGAGGACCCGGTTGAAGGTGCGATGCAGTTTTTAGACATTGAGCTATCTTTCTGCCAGTCTCATGTGTGCTGGAGCTACTCCCATACGTCAAAGAAGGGTGTTCTTCTGCACGATTCGAGCCACTCAAAAGTGATAAAAGAGTGTGTGTAACCTGTAGTCTTTCGAAGTGTCTCACGAGATCGTGTCAGCACCAAATGTTCAGAAGTTTTTGCGGGCAGGCTAGCAAATATTTGGATGGTGGTTACCCTAGCAGCCTCCTGGTAGGTATAGCTGAGAGTTTCTTGAAGAGGGTGCGTAATCTGGAGGGTGGCATGGGTAGGAAGGATACGCAGAGCCCTGTTGGTACGCCCTACGTCCACAAGGTTGCGCACAAAATAAAAGAATCTGCACAACGGCACGGCATTCCTTTGGTTTTCCTGTGCCTTGTAAGCTGGGACGTTTGTGTGCAAGGGTGGATAGTGGTCGGACCCCTATCGCTGGATGTGTCAAGCAACATAAAAGTAGGTTAGTTCTTTGCGTGGGAGGGGCAATTTATTGCATCCCGCTGACGTGTAAGAAGGTATACATCGGCCAAACAGGCTGTTGTATAAACGACAGATTGCGTGAACATGCGTGCTCGATGAGGGCTTCACCGCCAGGAAACTCGGCGGTGCACTGCGATAGGTGTGGGTGTACTCCTGTTTTAATCTAGACCAAGATTCTTGGAATGCGTCGTCAACAGACGACTGAAGAGATTACGGAAGCTTTTTTATTTGAATGAACAAAGATAAGTATGTAAGCGCTCCCTCGATAAGTTTATATGACTGCGAACTTGCGTTTATTAGCAGTTTTCGACGCGATGGTCAGGTGATGATGTGACTTATTTTGTTGTACGTGACCGATCGGTGGGCGTGTTTCTTTTTTCTCAAAATAATCAGTTGAAAGTCAGCGGTCTGTCTGTGTACACATTCTCTGTCCGGGTCGTTTTTCTCCCTGTTTTTTATCCTTTTACGATGCTACACCAACTAGCCCAACTTACCACTGTGGTACGAAAATATATATACTGTAAACGACTTAGTTTTCGCGACGACCTAATTTTCGCGAATCGCGTACAATCGCGAACAAGGGGTCCCGCGACCAATTCCGGTAAAATGTAAACACATTGGAATCTACATTGAGGTCCCACCGCGTCTCAGAAATTAAAACCAGCAAATTGTTCCAAAACTCCAGCTTTGTCTTAAGTCGCGAAATATTCAGCCCGCGAAAAATAAGTCGTTTTCTATATCTTACATTTCCAAAAGTTAGGTCGGGAAAATGGCTAGAGAATAAAAACAAGTTGGATAGATTGAAAGTTGTTCCGTCCATATTTTCCGTCCATGTCGACGCTACGTTCCGACAGAACCAATCAAGCGGCATGAAAACTGCATCGTCACGGCTATTGTCGTCTTTGGTCGTTTTCTATTCGAGGCTAAACCAATCCCACACAGTGAATGCGCCATAATCCTAGGCTCTGTTTTTGTGTGATCGGTAAAGCCGGTGCGTACAAACTCACAAAAACAAGAAGCACCGTGACGAGGCACTTTTAGAGCTACCTTACTGGCTCTATTGGGCTGCGGTCGGACTTGACACTGGTTCACACATTTGTGAGTGCTTCGACTGGAGAAGGTTAAAACCGGTTTTTAAGTCTCTTGTTACTGCTTACAAACGGCCTCCATAGCAGCGCAACCGGTTGTAAGCACTCGCAGAATGCTTACATACGGTTTTAAGCCTCTCCGGTCGTAAGCAGTCGCATATGTGTGAACCAGCCTTTAGTGTGAAACGAAGTATAATCGGTATCAGTAAAATGACGCCGCGAAATGATCGGGCGTACTCACTTTGAGGTACATGGAACACTGCTAGCGTGACACCCGTGAGCAAGTCGGGCAGAAGGTCGTGCCTCAGGTCGTACTCTCTGACCCAGGTCACGATGGGGAACCAACCCAGGAGCTTGGACTTGACCCGCCTCCTGTTCCACTTGCGGCCCAGGGCATGCCGTATCCTCGTCACCGGGGAACCCCTGGCGGTGGGCACATTGGCGAACTCGACGTTGAAGCGATCCTGGTTGAACACGTGTCTGGTTCTCGCCTGGTACCCGCGCTGGGTCATAGCGGGCTGGCGAGCCACCGGACAAGATGGCTGATGAAGGGCCAGCCAGCGGGCCAAGACGCCGCAAGGTCCCCGAGAGGGTTGGACGCTTTACGAGGGACTATAATTTGCCGCTTTCCGCACCATCGAGTCGCTAAATGTTTGCCTCTCAGCTTGCTCTTTTTTTTTGTTTATTTTGCGCTGTCGCGTCATGGCCTCTCAAGTCGTCTTACTGTTATGGCGACAGCCGACACTCCAATAATAACACGTTGATTATTTAAGTGAGAGAAAAGAAACGCTGTTTAAAAGAGAATAGGCTCTCCGTGCCTGGCACGTGATCGCAGGTTAATTTATAAATTACCTTGATGCCAGTTGCATTGTGAATGTAGTATTCCTTACAAAGGCCACCAATTTTAAAACGATTACAATGAAGAGGACCAACTTTACCTCTAGTCGAACGTGCACTCTTGGACGCAGTCAGTTGGGGATTTTCTTTTTGGCACACTTTGCTGGAAGACAGCGCCATACTGCCAGACCTGTACGTAACGTGTTACAAGTAACGCCCTCCTGTATCTAGTCACTTCTGCGGTATCAAAGTAACGACTTAGTCACTTTTTAAGAGAAGGAATGATTAACGCACTTTTCGTTATTTAAAAAAAAAATAAAACAACGCAAAAAAAAAAAAAAAACAGCGGAGGATAAGAAGACGAATCGTTCAAACAGAGCGCTGTTTGTACACTCCGTCTTCTTGTCCTCTGGTTCTTTTTTTTTTGGCCCTGTTTTATTTTTCTTTAAACATGTACCACCAACTCGCCCAACTTTCTACCATATTACACTCTTCGTTACTTTTTGATTGAGTGACAAGCAAAGGTATGCAGTTACTTCTGGAGGGGAACGTGTAGAACATAAATTAACCAATTAGGTTTTCACCTAAGAAAGAACGCTCAATCTAAGTATCTCTCTGTGCTAAAAACATAGAGGTCATTTCATCATCACCATACACTTTTCGTCACGCCTGTTTGCACTGACATGCATGACAGATGCTTACAACCGCGGCGACACTAGCCGTCAGTTGATTCTTGGAATAAACATTTTGTATAATGTGTGAATTCAATATGTTCACTTAGACGCCTCGATAGCTCCAGAGTGTTGCAATGCTATGGAGCGCAGAGTGGCGGTACTGCAAATTGATTTCGAAAAAGCGTTTGATAGAGTGTCCCATGAAATACTTTTTTTCTATTTTAGAGCATGTAAACGTGGGCTCTAATTTGACTGAAGGTCTGCGTATGGCGTACCAGAACTGCGCCACCAGTCTTATTGTTAACGAATGTGTCAGTGGCCGCGTTCCCCTTTTTTCTTCAGTGCGGCAAGGCTGTCCACTTTCACCACTGCTTTTTTTGTATTTTTCTAGAACCCTTTTGTTTAAGCGTCATATGTAGTAGCCAAATATGTGGGTTCAAATTACAGCCCAGTGACGTTCGGATTTTGACCTACCCGGACGACGTGGCAGTTTTTTCGTACGGATAAAGAGACTGTTAAGAAAGTCGTAGAACTAAGTGTGATGTTTTGTGAAAACACGTGCAGTTCTGTCAACTTTCAGAAGTGTCTGGGTATCTGGCACGGTGATTGGCCCTCCACGCCTCCTGTTTTTGAGCGCATTGAACGGTCTGTCACGCCGGTGCGCTATCTAGGCGTTCCGTTAGAGCCCTACCGCGCCAGCGATCAGTTTTGGCGCGAGGAAACGAAAACTTTGCGTGCAAAGTTTGAGAAGTGGAGAGGAAATGCCATAGTCTCTTTTTGCGCGCGCAACTATCTGTAACACCTTTCTAGCAGCAAAGCTGTGGCACGTACTACAGGTGATACATTGTTCGCGAATTAACATACAGCGTACGCATCGGGTTTTTGCTGTTTTTGTCTGGAGTCCCTCCTGGGAGAAAATGTTTCGAAGTAATATTTTTCGTCGGGTGAAAGACGAAGGGCTAGGTCGCACACACATAAGACAACTGGTCAACAGATTTCTTTATCTTCGTGACCAGAAAGACCCTTTTCTTAGGACTGTTATTCAGTTAAGGCTATACAATGTTTTACCAGAGTTTGTAGTTGCTTCATGTGATGATTGTTTTTCTGGTGCATACGGCTATTTCAAGGAAGTTATCGGTGCCTTTTTTAGCGACGCGTTTTTCTTTGGAGTATCTCTCTGAGATTTCGCGTAAACGTTTGTCAAGAGATTCGATTGATTTGTTATTTCCTGTCTCGTTGTACCGGTCCAGATACAGTGCTGGCCCGGGACTAGACGTCTTAGAAAGAGTTAAAAAGATGGTAGTTCCCGCAAACGTGAAAAATTTCTTCTTTAAGTTGCACAGTGAAACCCTGTCGGTTAAAACATGGCTCATCACTAAAGGCGTACCAACAGCATGGTCAGAGCACTGTGTCCTCTGAAAGCAGCCCGAGTCAATAGAACACGTATTTCTCGACTGCTGGGACGCGGCGTTCTTCTGGGATGTTCTGCAGAGAACGCTAAAGAAGGACTTGCCTCTATCGCCTCACGGCATTCGATACCTGTCTGAAGGAGAAAGCACGGTGCCTTATGATCTTATAATGCTTTTAGGCCTGCATATTATTTGGCAGTGCCGTCTGGCGGTACGCCACGCAGACGTCAACGTCCGCCCAGTGTACAAGTACTTTGTAGAAATGGTGTGTCGCCTGCAGGAAGTGATGAAAATGCAACAACCTTCCCCTGAGTGGTTGCCCATTTTTGAAGAGCTGGCGACCATTAAGGATTTTATATTTTCTTTTCTATTATCAGCCAGGGTGGCTTTTCTAGCGCTTTATTGATGTGATTGCTTGTGTATAATTCAGGAAATAAAGAAAAAAAAAAGCCTCGGTGGCTCTGATGCAAAGCACCGCCCTAAAGATCCCCAGGTGGCGGGTTCGAATCCCGGCCGAGGGGCCCGCAATCTGAGGGAGGCGACAAGGCGTCGTGGAACCGAACTTTTGGTTGCACGTCAAAAGATGTCCAGGTAGTCAAAATTAACCCCGAGTTCTCCGTTGTGGCACGCCGTCTGCCGGTCTTTAATTGGTCACGTAAAACCCCTCTATTTGACCTTTAGTATTTGCATGTCTAAACACTGAAGAGCGGGGACTGCTTCAGAGAAAACGACATTCAGAGTAACGAGAAAATAACGCGTTAGTTATCAGCTTAAGTACCGAAGTATTTTTAACCTCAATAATGAGTAACATACTTAATGACTTCTTGAGCGAGTAACAATTATCCGTATTTCGTTACTTATTTTGGCAACGAGTACATGTCTGCGCACAGCGTCCAGAAGCGTTTGACTCAAATATGTATTGATGTGTCTTGGAGAGTTAATTGTGCTACTGTCTACGCGAATAAGGGGGACGGAGAATACAAATACATCAGAATCAGAATCAGAATCAGAATCAGTTTATTTTTGTCACAGCGCTTTTACACACATGTGACAAGGGGGGCCAGGAAAAAAAGCTGCAAGTTTGCAGCTTGACGGGTTCCTGCCCCCCAAAAAACACAGGGCAGAGCGGCACTGTCATCAAAAACACACACAAAAAAACAGTGAAAATAACTGATGTAACATGATATTTAGCAATATATTAAGCATCGTCTCAATACACATTGAGATAGATAGATATAACAAACATAAGGCAAAGAATCTATTTATTACCGGCAAGTTTAAGTTTTATGGACATTTAACGAAAGTTTACCAACACTCATCTCCAGACACGAAAGAAAAACACAATAAAGATAACTTATATAAGATATCGCATAAAATAAGTGTCATTGGAAATAGGTTGCGCTTCAAAAACAGACTGAAGTAGAAAATATACCAAACATATGACAAACATTTTCACTCAATATAAGAAAGCCTCAGTTCTATGGGCATTTAATGAAGGTGAATCAACTTCTTGGGAATATAAGGTGTTCAACAGTGACGGTAATCTGTAACTCAACCTCTGGAAGCCAAAATTAGTTCTAGATGATGGGATTCTCCATGGACGCCAATGGCGTGAGGAATATAATGATACATTATTTTCAAGTTTAGCGAGGTCAAAAATTACTGTAATATGTTCTCTTAAGGCACGATGATATGTGACCGTTAATCTATTAGAGTACATGTTAGATACGTCAAGTATTTTATGCTTTGCAAATAAAGGAAGAGAACTATGGTCACGTGGGACATTTTCAATTATCCTTATTGCTTTTTTTTGCATTAACCTCAACCTGTCAAAGTTACTTTTTGTTGTTGTCCCCCATACCAGGTGGCAAAACAAAGAATTGAGTGAAAAAGGGAATTATATACTAATTTATTACAGGAAATACATTTCTATATTTGTTCATTATCCCTACTACTTTACAAAGTTTTTTATGTATGTAGGATACATGGGGATTCCACGACATGTGTTCTGAGAACACAACGCCGAGGGTCTTCACGCTGTCAACGCATTCTACTATATTTGGCCCAAAGTACAAATCTCTGGACAATGTGATCCGTGATCCTGGACATTTAAAAAGGACTGCTTTTGTTTTGGACGGGTTTATTGATAGAGAATTAATGGCGACCCAGTGTGTTAACTTGCGTAAAAAATAGTTTCCTTTGGAAGTGAGTAGGTCTTCTCTTGAGTCAGAAAAAAAGATGCTGGTGTCATCTGCATACATAATCAGCCTGGCGGAAGATTCTATCTTTGTAATATCATTGACGTAAATAATAAACAACAGGGGACCTAATATGCTTCCCTGGGGAACCCCAGACGAAATACGCTGTATGTTGGATGACGAGTTTCCAATCTGAACATATTGGTGGCGATATTCTAGGTAGGACGCAAGAAGTGATAAAGGTATACCACGTATACCATAACATTTTAACTTGTCAAGAAGAGTCTGGTGGTTTATCCGATCGAACGCTTTGCTAAAGTCTATGAATATCCCTAAAGTTAAAAGTTTATTCTCAAAATTTTCTAATATTAATTCTTTCTGTACTAGTAAAGCT